CAAAATTTTGGTGGAAGGCTGGGAAGCTACTCCTAACCTCCAAGTCCCCAGTTTAGGGACTAGAACCCCTGGTTATGATAGGTAGCTGGGAAACTACCCCTGACCTGAACCAAACCAACCCAAACCACCAAGAGGGAAGCTGAAGAGAGTGAACCAATACCGCTTCTTTGGGGGCCTCCAGGCATGGGCCGCTGCATGTCTACCGCTTCTTCGTGGCAAATCGCCCCAAGCTACTGGGCATTTTGACGCGCTGGGATGAAGAGGCCAGACGGAAATCTGTCAACAGGCCCATGGATAAAATCAAACCCCTATGGGATCACATCAATCCGTGGTTGTCTTTTCTCCTCTTGTTTTCTTTTGGGCCTTTCTGGTTCCCTTTCCACCTAGATCGGCTTTTGTCCTCTTGATTTTGTATGCCTTCTTCGTCTCCTTAAAGTCAATTATCACGATGACATTTATGGCCCAGAGGTTCATGAGTCAGATACCCGTTTGCAAGGTGAACCAGTAAGTCAATTCATACAGATGGATATCATGTCCGCATGCTATCATTTGGCTCAAGACAAAAAGGCGTGCACTGCGCGCGTTTGCCCAAGTTAAGGGAGAGGTCGCAGTCACGGCGGGGTTCGTTCCTTTTAAGGTCCCGGGTTCCCCCGTTGTTGGGAAAACTGTGTTTCCCTCTCCTTTGAGTGGTTATCAGCCGTAGTGCTTTTCGGGTAAACAAACCCTTCTGTGACTGCGGCCGTTTCGGTCGCACATGGAAGCCGCCCCTCACCGCGGCAATCGCGGTGGCAAGGGGCCGCGTGCTCGTCTGTACAACACATTACAACAGATTGTGGTTGACAAATACAAGAAGCAAGACCGACGTTTTCGCTGGATCAAGTTTACAGAGGCCTCAAAGCAACAGACTGAGGCCCTTTTTACCTGGCAGGAAACATTGGACAGCTGGCACTTGTGGCATTTCGACCCAGAGGCTTGGGAGGTCATTGAGGCCGCCGACAACGCTTACCACGCGTGCTGATGAAGGCTTTGTGGTTAGGGCGTCTGGCACGCCCGGACCTGGCCAAGCCGATTGGTGACCTTGCTTCCTATGTTCAGAAATGGTCTAGGAACTGCAATAAGCAGTTGCATTCACAGCACGGTGAACAGCACCCTAGTTGGCACAGTACAGGATTCGACTGATGAACTACATCTTTCTCTCTATGTGGACGCAGATTTCGCTGGTGAAAGAGATGCAAACTCAACATCCGGTGGTTTCTTGGTGTTGAGTGGCCCGCATGCGCACTTTCCCCTCGCGTGGGTGTCGAAACGGCAGACTTCGGTCTCGCGCTCGACTACCGAGGCGGAAATAGTGTCTCTTGCGTACTCCCTGTACCAGGAGGCACTACCTGCACTCAGGCTATGGGAGCTGATTTTGGATAGGCCATTTCACCTTAAAATCCATGAGGATAATCAGGCGACCATCCTGGTAGCGAAGAGGGATTTCTCATCTAAGCTACGCTGTGTACAACGCATGCACAAGGTGAACCTTGCTTGCATTGCAGAGCAGCTTGAAAGTGACCACATCTCAATAGAGTATGTCAAAACAGACATGCAGTCAGCAGACATTTTGACTAAAGCACTTCCTCCCAACAAATGGGACCATGCCATCAGGTTGCTCGGCATCCGTGTTGATCTTCCACAGAAGCTTGAAGATGTGCGTGAAAGTAGATCCGCTAAAGCAGCTGCATAGTGCGCTGCTGCATGTCCACAAATTTCCAAAAGTGTGCAAGTGACTGGGCGATGCTTGAGTAACTTGCGTCAGTCGTTGCGATGTAAACTTGACCTCAAGTTGGCGTGGTAATGCGCCCAAGACACTCCCTCAGTGCCGTCAATGAGGGGGGGAGTCAATTATCACGATGACATTTATGGCCCAGAGGTTCATGAGTCAGATACCCGTTTGCAAGATGAACCAGTAAGTCAATTCATACAGATGGATAGCATGTCCGCATGCTATCATTTGGCTCAAGACAAAAAGGCGTGCACTGCGCGCGTTTGCCCAAGTTAAGGGAGAGGTCGCAGTCACGGCGGGGTTCGTTCCTTTTAAGGTCCCGGGTTCCCCGTTGTTGAGAAAACTGTGCTTCCCTCTCCTTTGAGTCTTAAAGACCGCAAATCGGCTCAGCTTTATTTTGCTAGGTGTCCTCTAAGTCGGATGATTGAAACTGCATTCAACAAAATGAGTGTGGCTCAACATGGGTTATGCAGGTTTAGTCTTTGGTTCCATTTACCAAGGTGCCATTTGGGTACATGAGTTTGAGCCACAGACAAATTGAGAGCACAGTAAGTTTTGCTTTCTTTTTTAGATTCCAGTTTGTTTCCTTGTCCCTGTTTAGTGGCGCCCTCTTTCTGTTTGATGGCTTCTCCAAAACATGTTCCTCACCCCAGAAAGAAGCGGGCTTGTCTTTTTTAGGGACCGTGGCTTTCCTTGGGGCTTTCCTACCCACAAGCAGTTGGTACCCGCAAAAAACAGGAGGGAGAAATCAAAATGGCCCCATGTGGTTTGGCGAGCGAGTCGTTGGTTGCAACTGGATTTGTCCCTGCTTCCTGCCTGCCCTCACCATTTCGAACCGGCAGACCTTCCTGAAGAACTTCGAGTTCAAAGATTGGCGCCAGGCAGGGCAGGAGACCAGCGGCATGACGCTCGGCGGCCTTTCCCCCACATACACACCGCATAAGGAATGGCAGCCCAACAACAACAACAAGACCAATCGAAAAAACGGGTGTCCCGTGCTTGTGCAGACCCATGTGCCACAGATATGGGAATCCATGTAGCCGCATTGGTCTGAACCCCGTTCAGACAAACGTCATGATATCAACCAACTAGGGACTTCATGAGAATTTGGAAGGGGTAATGGGAAATCTGGCTCCCAACAGCTACGTTCAAAATTAGTCTGATTGACAGCCAAATCCTCCAACTCAGCTAAATGTAATTTTCAATATGGCCACCATGCAGCTCGAAAAAGGAGCCTCCTGGCATGCTCTCAATAGCTGGTATGAAGCCGGAAAAGGCACCTTATGATCCCAGAAACAAGGGTCCCCTACAAGGAATGCTCTAGAAGTCAGGGCTTTTCGGGCTACACAACAAGTCAGAGCCATAGCAAGGGGCATTGCAGTGCCTATTTGGGGCCATCGAGGATCATACACTGCCCATGGCTCTTTTTGCTATGGCTCATCAGCAGGGTTGTGGGATCAAGGGTTATCCCCACTTCTGTGACACAAGGGAATCCCTTCTTTATATAGGGGTTAGTCTTGGGGAGGTCCTTTTTGTTGTATCACAGAAGTGGTCATTTCCCACAGCCTTGCTCATCAGTATTGCACCAGGAACGGATTGCTTTGTGCCACCTTCGCGGGCAACGTGGAAGTCATCCGCCGGATGGTGGAGCACCGCGCTGATGTGAAGCTCTGCCAACGTCATGGCTGTGGCGCAAACAACCCTTTTCCTTTAGGTTGACACTGTAGGCGGGCCACATCCAGCACCATAGGGTTTACATGTTAGATGCTCCAACTGTCGCACTCTTGTCGGACTGTTTAAGGGAATCCACAGGAGCGTCAAACACCCCTAGAGTGTGGATGGATTCAAACCAATTTGGGATAAACCACTTGCCAGCGAGGATTTTGTCCATCCACTGGTTTTAGACAGAGGTAAGGGTTTCTCCCAAAGGAGCAATGATGATCCACATAAAGTTTGACTCTGCAAGCATGAGGTCTGGTCAATCCAGCAGACTTTTGTCGATTTGAGTGGTTCGGCGCACGAGGCTCTCGACACGCCGAAAACGGGAACTGTGCAGTTTGACAGTGGTTTGCCAGGGCTCCTTAAAAGATACACTTTGCCCATTTGAAACATGTTTCTCCAGCAAAATAAAGGGAAACCACAATTTACAAGGCAAGGTTCAGGTGTATAATGTAAGATCCCTGTTTGCATAGTGACTCAGCGCCAGGGGAATCGACCTATTGCTTCACTCGGAGTAGCTTCAACTTTGCATGTCCAGTTTGGCTGAAGATGACTGTCACTTATCAGGAGACCCTAACTGGATTCCAACAAAGTGTCCAGGACTCGGGATGGATGCATGTTCTTTTATTCCTGCTTGGAACAACTACAAGCATCACACCCCTTCTTGATCATGTTCAACCATCTAGAGTTGGTGGAAAGCAACGCAACACCAGCGAGTGTGTCCCCTTCTTATAGCACTGATTTCCTGAAAGTTCTGCTCTTTGGGGAATACCACCAAGCCAACAAATCTAACACTTGCAAAAGCGGCAAGCCACAACAACAGGAAGTGCAAGCACACAAAACGTCGACCACAAAACAAAATTAGCCAACACATGCTAACACGCACAAGCAAGACAACAACAACACGTGGGTGTGCCTTTTGTAGCCCCCCAACAAGAAAAGGTAGTGTCCTTTTTGCCTTCCATGAAACACCACCGACAAAGGGGTACCCCCCCCAAAAACACACACACACACACACACACAAACAATCACAACAATCAAACACACAAACATCGCCAGACACACACCCTTAAACTACGCCATTGACATGGGTGATTGCATTCCAAATCAGGGTTCAGTGGTTTCTCTTTCTCAAGGGTAGCTTGCCCCCCCCCACCCAAAACAAACAAACACGCTGGCGTCCTTTTGGCTTCCCTTAACCACCGAAAAAGGGGACCCCAACAAAGAATCGACGGACCCACACATGATAGTTGTAAAAAAAAACAAAAAAACACACACACACACACAAAACTTGAGTACAAAAACAGACGCACATAAACAACACAAACCAAACAATAGTAAAACGACAGACCCACATCACCAACATCACTTCAGCCTTCTTTCTAGGAATCAGAACATCGAGGGCCTTGGAGAGCTTGGCTACTACCCGAGCCAATCGGTGCTCATGGCTGCGGCCAAGAGTCGGCAGCCGGCAGAGGCGCTCGACGATCAGAGCTCTGTAGAGCTGGGTCGGTTTTTTGGCGTGTGGCTTTGAGGGTACCCTCGCTGAGAGGGGGCTGTCTCTGAATCGGAAACTTCGGCTTGCCACCCACGCCGCCCGGAGAAGACGAGTCAGAGGTGATTGTCGTAACTGCTGTGGTAGACACGCGGTTAGAGAAACTGCTCCCTGTTTGTGTGGGTTTTTGACAGAAACACAAACGGTAAATCACCATTGCGGTCCGCAAAAAGCAAGACAGACCCCAATCTCTGTAGAGAGAAGCCCAAAGGAGGTTGATCGCGGGTCTGAGGGTGCAGTCCTTGAAAGGCAAACTATCTTATCAACCGTTGTTTGTTCCATGTGAACGTTGAATTGTTTCCAGCCGCATGCTCCCTGTGGTAACAAAAGGTAAGAAGGGCTTCTGGTCCAATTCCTTTAGAAACAAGTCAAAAGGGTAAGGTTTTGGCAATGATGTCCTTTAGAGGCCAGTCAAAAGGATATGGTTTAAATAATGGGTGGCTAAAAGATGGTGTAAACTGGAAGTTGGCAAGACTTATGTTTCAACAACCAGCCTTCTCCAGTCACCAAACTAAGGCTTTACCCTATACAAATAAGAATACAGGGCTTACCGGAGACCCTTCAAAGAGAGAAGCTCACAGTTGCAGCATTGGGAAACCTAAAGGGGGGTTGGTAACATTTGCTGACCAAACCAGCTGTTGGTCCAACTCCCCCTGCAGGGAAGCAAGGAGGTTGATCCCCAGCATTGATCAACAACTAAGCAAAGACCGCCAGCTTCTCACTTCCCGTTTCTGGACTCTGCTCACTTTTCGTGGAGGTGGACGCATTTATCGGTAAAGTATGTTTATCATGTTTGCCGATCCGCGCAGGAATTGAGGCGTTTGGTGCCCTAAGCATGGCTTCCGCCCACCCCACTGTGAGCAGAGAAAAGCACTGCACTCCGGGACGCGCTGGCCAAGGCAGCTAGCTTCTGTTCACAGGGAAACCCGAAGGAGGTTGATCCCCTGTGCGAAACACTGACTAAACCACCAACCCTTGGTCCGCTTGACAGCTTCCATTGGGCAACATTGGGCAACAAATGTGTAAAGCCACCTGTCCCTGGTCTAACGCCACTACCCCTTGGTCTGAAGATGGAAACCCACAGGAGGTTCTTCAAACAATCCTTGTAGCCAGTTGGCTGTGGGTCAAAAATAGGTGCCCAAAATGGAACCCCAGTAAATGGAAGCAGCCACTAAAACCTGCGATCTTAATTTTGACCCATACCTAGTTCAAACCCAACGGTTTGAATCAAACCCCGACAGGTGCTCACTGCATTGCTGGAGCTCAGGGCAGATGTGAACCACCAAGCGGCCACCTGCCAGGAACACACAGACTGCTTGTTTAATCTGAGGTTTCAGCAACATGTGCTGGGTGTGGCTTAGTATTAAAGAGCTAGGGTTTTGCAGGTGAAGGTTATTGGTTCCATTTACCAAGGTGCCATTTTGGTACAGGCTTTTGAGCCACAGACATTTGTCCATGGTCCATTTGGGAGTGACCATTCTTTGGTATACCAGCCATTAGCCATCCCTACTGGCCGCCTTTGAACGGTTCTAACCCCAAAGCTTTCGCCCGAGTTTAGGTGCCCGTTGGATATGGGTTAACCCTCCTGGATTGCGCCGGGGTGGGGGATTCAACCCCTTGTTTAACTCATGGCTAAACATCTATTGTTTGAATAGCCGCCTTTGGTTTCCCTTGGACCGACTCGGGTCTGGTTGTTTGAATCGATACTGCAGCCAACCCTCCTGGCTTCCCAATGTTGCAACCAACCCTGGGTTTTTCAGATCAAACGGAGACAATGTGTCCGGTAGCGAAATCGATTCCCTCAGCAACAGGAAACATTGACAGACACATATATATATATACATATATATATATATATATGGGTCTGTCTGTTTTTTGAGGGTACCCTTCTGTTGAAAAGGGGAACAACCAGACCATTAAAATTTCGCAGCAAATGGATAGCCCAAGGGGCCCAGTCCTTTCAGCGATCCACTCGAGGGCAATGGCACCACCCCGATCTCCCTGGCGCGCTCGCCCCAGCAGGCGAGCTCGAAGTCCCGAACCCACTCCTTGGGCTTATGAGACTCACTTGGCTTTGGACTTGAGCCACGTTTGGGGCAGATGGGCCATTTGTGTGGCGCGTTTAAAAGGTGGGGTTGCTTTGTTTGGCTCATCCATCCACGGAAGTGAGGAGAGTTTCGCTTTGCAAGCATTACCTCCAGCTATGTTTTTCTTGGCATGTGTGTATCTTGGCCCCGCGGCACCCAGACTGAAACCTAGGATTTCCATGGGAGAAATCAGGACCAGGTGCAGGACTTTGTTCATCCACAGCAAGCTTAAGGTTAGTTGAAGGGTCCTTGAAAGTTGTTTGGGCTAAAGTACAACTTCGGGAGGTTTGGGGAATAGTAAGCTGAATGCGAAGCAAGGAGATGCTTGCTGGGTTTTCGTAGTCTAGACATTCTCCATTCTTTCCAAGAGGCTCCTTTCTGGAACACCGTTTTGCACAATGGCAGTTGTTTTTCAGAGAGATCAATGAACGGAGCGTTCATTTGAGGAGTCCCAAGGACCAACACAAAAAAAAGGGGAAAAAAAAGGTCGACGGATGCCAAGTCATGCCAAGTCGCGGGACCGACTAGGGGGTCAACCCGACATTGGCTTTCTATTTTTGGAGAGTTCCTGAGGGTTGTTTGGGGAGGGGGGCATGCTCAAGGCCGTGTTGCTGCTCTATGGGGATGTGATTTTAAGGGGCTCAAAAAAGGTTCTCGTGAATGTGTTCCGATCACTCACCCAAGGGCAATGTGTACATCGCAGAACCAATTTGAAAGACTCCATTCAATGGGACACCCGATTTTGGTGGACGGGCTTGTCTTTGAAAGAAACCGCCTCGAGTGAGCCAACATGCGTTTTTGGGCGGCTCTTTGGGGAGGGGTCCAACGACATGAAGAGATTCGATGGTCCATACCACACTGACACAGGAACAAGGTGGAGAGCACATTACCCAAAGGATGATCATTTCGAGTTGTAATATGATGGAATGGATGTGTGAGATTGAACTGAAATCCGGTCAATGGTTCGGGGCGGGGGCTCCCCGTTCCCGACTGGCCAGGTGCGAGTGTTGCACGAGGCCAAGGCGAATCTGAACAACTTGCTGACCGACATCGGGCGCTCGCCCTTGATAGGATGCACCACTATGGCAGCCACTGACACTGTGCAGGCGAGATCCAACCCGAAATTTTGGCTCGCTGGGTTCCGTGTGGTTTGCCCCAAAAGCGGTCCAACAAACAAAAAGATACAGTACTGGGATGGTAGACGACAGTACTGTTTTGGTACATGAGTTTGGGGAGGCGGAAGCGGCTGAGGGGAGATTTGGCAGCGTTCACCTTGACCCGACCGGCAGCCTTCCGCTTTGTCCTTTTTTTTCAAGTGCAACACCTCTCTCACCTTGGTCTGTAGAGGCGGCATATATCTTCAAGCCCTTGGTTTAACCTGGCGAAGCTGTGGTGAGCAAGTATGCAGGCCTCGGGGGAGGTACTGGTCCAAGGACCGCCACCGTGAGGCAATGGACATCGCGCCCGCGTCAAGCCTTCCACGCTTAGTCTGTCCTGCTGAGGGACACGTTCTCCTGGCGTCTTCTCTGGGCATGCGTCTGTCCAAGGACTGGTTGACGGCCGGCCTACTCTCCCCAGTGCCAGAGCGGCCGTGAGCTCCGCTCGTAAAATCCACGTCAGCGGTCCAAATCGCATTCGAGCACGGTGTCAACAAAGGAATGGGAGTCGCTCTGGCTGCAGAGTGTCTAATGTTGCGAACCTTCGTGTGGGTCAATATTCCAGTCGTGCCAGTCGAAGTGTACTGACCAGCAATCCGGAGCAACATGTAGGCCACCACTTTGGCGATGCAAGCTTTACGCATGGTGACTTCAGCGGCTTCCCAACGTTGTTGCAAAAAGACCAGGGTCACCTATCAGCTCGGCTCGAACAGAAAAGAAGGACCCAAGAAGAGTGAATTGTTCACCCAACATGTCGAACAAAAAGGGAAGTAAAGACTTTGGGGTGGCAAAAGCGGTCCTATTTCCCTCAGTTTTCTGGAGAAGTGTAAAACGAAGATGGGCTTGGACGAAGCTGCTTTTTTTGAGCCGTCCACTTTGCGAGATGATTGGGGCAGGGTTGTTTGCAAGGGGGCGCATAGATTTGTTTGCAATCCCTTAGAATGCGAAGACGAAAGCGATACCAGGATTTTGTGCAGAGGTAACTAGTGATCGTTGGTTGTGTGCCTCAGCTTCTCCCATGGGCCTCAGGGTAGTGGAAACTGTGGAATCTGACATGTTCTTGTTGGGGTGATTACAGATCCACACCAAAAGGAACACTGTGTTTGGCGGCGCCCCTTGACCACGGCTGTCTGCGTTTTGTTGACAGTGCATCCTGCACGCAGACAGTGGTTCGATGTCGGACGAAGAAGTGTACAATCCGTTGAACATGTACGACCTGTCCAAGAAGCAGAAAGCGTGTCGTTTGTTCCACACATGATTCAGAATCATAAGCTCTTGGTAGAAACTGTCACCTATGTTGCGCGCGACATTTCCTCACACACACACACAACCGTGCAGCATCCCAAAACACACGTGAAAACAATTTGGCACTAAATGGTTACATCAAGGGACCCCCCCCGCAGCTGGCGCAAAATGGTTTCGCCCGTCGTCATTCAAGGGAACCCCCGCAGCCGTGAAAACACATGGCTTCAAGGGAAACCAAGCAGCTGTGAAAGCACACGGCGCCAAAGTATTATCTCCATCAGTGAAAGGAACCCCCGCGGTGAAGCACACTGCGCCAAGATGTAGCGGTTTGTCCCTTTACTCCCTTTCCAGGGCGCCAGGGTCTTGTTTAAGTCGTGCAACCAACCCTGACCCCTGTTGAGCTAGCGCTGGCCTGGCAAGTCTCTCGCAGGCACTTCTGGAGGAGCGCTGCGACGCGGCGAGTTGCTCCTTAGTCATCCCCATCATTTTCTCGAGAGGCGCAAGCGCGGCGTTTGGGGGTCAAAGGGGGGGGATGGTCTTTGTGTTCATCAAATGTATGTGTTCTTGTATTCATCACACATAAAACAGAACTTAACACACCTGTCCAAAGGTATATGTGTGGGGTTGGTATTGTAGAGAAACCTAACCTGGAAGTATGTTGGTTCGAGTTTCAATCTTAGAGCTACAATCTCAACGTCTCATTGGGGAGGACACCTGCCTGACCCTAAGTGGCTTGTTAAAAAGTGATTAAAATGCTTGTTTGGCGCTGGCCGGGTCCGGCCGGGCGCCGGAGGTATCAATAGTCCTGGTTGGCCTAGTCAAAAATTTGAGGTGTTTCTTTGCGGGCGCTATTTAAGCCTTCAGCCCACCCAAGTCTCAGGGATGGGATCTTGCATTGCCCTTGGCGAGCATCATGAACACACACATTTGACTCCTAAACCAAAAGGGTCCAAGCAATTCATATGTGCGGATTTGAGGGATCAGTACTCAAACGAATTCCCTTGAACCAAGCCTCAAACCGTAAATATGTGTATGAACATATATCGTAGCAAGGGGCCCTCTGGGGTAAGTTTAGGGTTCAGCATTGACCAAGCCAGAATTTTGGATGTGGAGGCAACCCCCACGTCCACCAGTCGCTGCGGCTGCTGCTGAGTCACAAAGCGGACCCCAACGGGGAGCTGCCTATGACACTTGGCTGACCTTCGGTGGGTCGCTCCGTTTCTCCTTTTTTTTGGGGGAGGGGGGCCTTTCAAAATCACCACACAAAGAATGCCTTTAGTGTGTTTGAGGTAATTTCCCTTTTTGGGTTGGCAAGGGAAACCAAAGAAAACACCATCATTTTGTGGGTCCCCTTTTTCGCACACAGCCATGGTTTGATGTGTTGTTTGCTTTTGAAGGTTCACTGAATATCAACCAGGGTTCCCGTTTGGTTTCCGAATGTCCCTGTTCTTCAGGTGCTTCTGCCATGGAAAATCGTGACCAATATGGTGACTTATAAAGGTGATCCTGGCCGCAAGAAGCTTCCAATATGTTCCATATCTTCTTGATTGGTATTGGGTTGGACCCTTCGACTTTAACTTTTTAGGTAGTCAAGGGTCTTCCGTCGAATCCGTTGAATCCGCAAAAAGTTAAGTCTTTTACAGTGGGGTCAACAGCAACCAATTCTTGTTCCATTTCTTTGCCGAATGCGCCATGGGGCAACGACCAATGACTTTGACGATGTTGGGACTTGCACCTGGGTTGTAAAAAGGAGACCCCATACTATTTTGTTGTTTCTACATTCGTTTGGGACCCTTTAGGTTGGTCTCGTTGTGGTTTCTATCCAAAAGAGGTCCTTTTTGAGGGTAGCCCTTTTCTGCGGTTTGGGCTGATTTCCCACAAAGCCACAAGGTAACTAACCCAGAAACTAGGCGTACCAGGGTGTTCATATATGGACATTCAGCCTTTGATCAGGGATGCACGACAGGTCGTCAGTTAAGGGACTCATCGGAAATGGCGCTTTTCGCACAGGGGAATTTCTGTGTAGTTCCCACCATGTTGTTAAGATCGAATCTAGAAGAACTTGGCGGTTCGCACGGTTCCTTAAACTGTATAAGAATGTGAGGGTTTAGACTAGGGTTTTATACAAAATCCCCTGCGCTCTACCATCGGCGAAAGCCGCCCGCTTGTTTTCCTGTCCCAAAGGCTCCGAGTAGCTCCTACTTGCGGATTAGAAGAATCTGTGCTTAGTGAATTCCAACTTGAACCAAGTCCAAAACCGCAAGCAATACGTGCTGGTGCTCTGCTGGGAATGAGGGAATGAACCTGGGGATTCCCTCACAGGAAGCCACCAGTTGGACGGTTTACATTCCCACATTCCCCACTGAGCACCAGCAAGAATAAGGTACCAAGCCATACTTTGTGATTCGAGCCGTTTTGTTCCTATCCCCTCAAACAGGGATGGATTTTGTTCTACTCAGGCGCGGGGGTGCATACTTCGACTGCTGCCTCTCCTTGGCAAAGGTGAAGCTACTGGGCTGGGAGCGCAGCGGTCTCAACACGCAGCGCCCAGCCTGCGAAGACGAAATCCTCTTGGGCACCACCTAAGAAGCCCTGGTGTCTGATGATTCTCGTGTAGATACCAACAAACAAAGGTTTCAGCCATGGTTTTAAGGTAATGCAGGATTTCGTCCATCCAAAGTACATCAGACTCAGCTTGCCTTGAGAACTTTTGCCTTTTGCCTGGTTTTCCGTCATTGTACTCTGAGCTTGCTTCGCCTTGTTTAGGTGTTTGTTTCCATCAGTTTGCTGTACCAGCAAAAGGTAGCTTGTCGCAGAGGGGGTAAGTCTGGGCAATAAATGCCCTTATAATTGTTGGTGTCCTTAAATGGACACCAAAAAGGGACTGCGGTATTGTTTCGAGTTAGGCCAGGCCCCCAATGGCACACGGAAACGGGCGAGTGACACAAGTGCATCATGTGTTGTTGTTGTTTAGGTCAAGGATTCCGGCAATCTCTCACCCATGTCTTGTTTACAGGTTCTTTGGGGACTCCTCATGTCGAATTGAGCAGCGCCCCAAATGTCCATTGGCCATTTAGGTGGTTCTACCTGGTTTCATGAGGGTTGTATGGCCAATGGACAACTCTTTAGCATGTGACGGTTTTTTTCTCGTTCCATTGGTTTGATTGGTTAGGGGGACTGCGGGGGGAGGGGGGGGAGGACGACCTACTGACCTTTTTCCCTTCTGTGGTTGGAGACCCTTCCCCTTAAGCTTTGGGGGGATGAGCTGCTGAGCCGCACGTAGTAGGTTTGTTCGGAAACTCCCGTGCAAGATTCCTCTAGAACATGTTTTTTTTGCTCTATGTTGATCTCCCGAAGATGTGTTTGATCGAAACATATGCATGTCCAAATAGGGCAACAGGAGGGTGGGTATCTATTTATATAAGTAAGTGTCTAGTGATTACGAATAGTTGGCTCCTATAGTCATGACTCATACTCTACTGGGGCTTCTCAAACTGGTGGACCCCTTCTGGTTGGTGCTTGGGAACTAAACAGGAAGCCAGGCATTTCTGTGATTCCGGGGGGGGGGGGAAAAAAAAAGGTGTTCGTGTGTGTGGTACGTTTGGTTTTGGTTCTATGGAAGCTTCCTGGTGGTTTGCTCCTGCCTCTAAACGACACCCTCTTTTGAGACCTTAGGCCTGAAGTTGCAGTGCAACATGCTCTGAACAATGGCGGTGTTGTTGGGAATTTTGGTGTTGCTTGTGCAAACCAAACATTCCCTGTTGGTGGCTTTAAACATTACCTGGTGGTTGCCCCTTCTTTTTTTTTTGAGCGTGGTTCCCTTTGGCGGGCTGATGTATCAAGTGCAACTATGGATTTGTTGCAAAAGAAGGAGCCCCCTCCAAAAAAATAAGACAGAAAAGAGGGCGGCTTCCCGCAAAGTGAGGGAGCCTCGGCCTTTCGGAGCCGCCAACTTGGCTAGGTCAGATCTTTCCGAGCCAAAGCCACAGCGCTTGGGGCTTTTCGCTTCCTCGTTTTCTCTGGGCTGCTCGTCCGGTATCTCTACCAAAAAGGCGATGGAGTGACAAGTTAGACTGTAAATGTAGTCCCCAACGTTCACCAAACGAAAACACCAATTTTGACCCCCTGGTTCTTGTGGATGGTTCTTGGGAAACCACTCCCGTGTCACCACCAAACCACCAATCCAGCTGTGTGAGGCACTTTGCTTCTCTGCTGGGATGCACGCCCTTGCACTCGGCCGCCTACATCGGCAGCACGGCCACGGTGAAGTTGCTGCTCGAGTTCCAGGCGGAACCCAAGCAGCAACCTGGCGCAGAAAATTTGTTCTTGGTCGCTCGGGGTGATGCTAGGGACACCTTTGTGGGAGCTAGCAAAGGTGCAGTTGCGCACTCCGGTTTGATCTGGTGAGCTTGTAACGATTGTGAGGTATGAGGGTTCGTTTGCGACGTAGCGCATGACAAAGGTTTAGGGTTTAGGGATTCCGTATATTTAGTGAGTCATTCCAATTTGCCGAGCCTAATGGGGAGGTGTCCCTTTTTTTTCGGCATGCAGATCACTTTTGTGGGTCAAGTCAGAGGACTCAAGCGCCCGAACCCCTTCAGTTCCCCTGATTTTCTCCAGGATTCATAGCATTTCATCGGTGCGAACCGGATTTTGCCTACGGATTGTGGGGATTTCCACTTCAGCCAACCCAGTGGATGCCAGGTAGCTAGCCATCTTGCGTTTGGTCTTCCAATTGTTCATGTTGAGAGCCATGGGTTTTGTCCTCGATGGTCATGTCATTCGGGCTTATGTAATATGGTGGTTAACTGGAAATGGTTACCTATTTAAATCACTGGGCAACTGTTCCAATTCTCAAAGGGCTTGACCCAACCCTTCACTCCACCTTCGGACTTAAGTTACTTGCATCATTCCTGCACGGATAGAAATAATGAATGGTGGTCCGATTCCCCCTTGGTTTAGTTGCTCCGAGCCGAGAGATGGCCGAACTGAGGGTGGACAATAATTGGTCAGCGGTTTCCGTTTTGGTCTGCATGGGGTCAGCCAAATTCAATGAGGCGTGCATATGCCAAACACCCCCAATTGTTCAACTGATTTGTCGGACTGACATTTCTCAGGCATTTTTCAGGATGTCCATTCACTCGATTTTAGGGCAGCTGAGCAGGAAAAAGTTTGACCCCACATGAATTGGGAGGTGTCCAAGGGCAAGACTATTACGGCAGTTACGGTGATTTCCTGTGGGTTCTATCAATGTTGTTGTTCGACTAGCACATATGCAGCTTGTTTTTTGGCACCAGCAAGTGGAATGCGCGTGTTCTCACTTGGCCAACAGGAATCGACCGGTCGAAGCGACCTTTGGTCTTGCTCCCTTGTTATGAGCATGTCTGTCTCATGACAGCTCAAGCAGTCGCCTCTAATCAACCCTGGGGCTTGAGAGTTGCAACCTGTTTTTACCATGGGTTCTACCGTCTTTTGATGGCCCGGTGTAGCCTCCTAGGGTTCACCCTGCACCCCTGGTTTTCTCCAATGCATTAAGTTTCTAGGGTCTGGGAAAGAAGCCGGCGACGTTGCTTAAGGAACAGCCTGGGCATGTGGCCGGAAGATGTGGCTCACCGCAAGGGTTTCACGTACCTGCTACCGGAGCTTTCTACTTTTCATGTGTGACGTGGTCGAGAACATGCTCGGGCTATATGTCTGAAAAATGGAGACCACAAGGAATCCAAGCATCACAATTAATCGGAAACCTAAAGAGAGATAATAAGGACATCAACCTCTCTGGCGTCTCCTACGATCTGATTTGTTGTTGTTGTGACCCCAGATTCGGGCCAAGCCTGGATGGGGAGCCCACTTGCCCAAAGAGGCAACTGGCATATGCCGAAGAACGCACGGAGCTGTGGTAAAAGTGCGTTTGCGAAGACTTGCCCGGATCCGACCACCAATGGACCAACCTTCCACTAACCCCCCCCTTCCCGATGGTCTCCTCCACGGGCTTTAGACCCTGGGACTTATTCTGGATCGGGTTTCGCTTGGATCTTGAGTGACGTTTCGATCCGAACCTTAAGGAACGGCCTGGGCATGTGGCCGGAAGATGTGGCTCGCCACAAGGCCTTCACGCACCTGCTACCGGAGCTTTGTACCTTGTTTTTTTGTGAGGCCGTGGCTCAACATGGGCCCTTAGCCTATAAAAATAAGGAAGACAAGCGTTTCAACAAATGAGAACAATTCCGTTGGTTAAAGAGCGAGAGCAAAAGGAAATCAACCAGGGCCTCATCAAAGTTGGTTTGTAGTTTAGGGTTGACCATGGACCAGAATCTGAAGAAACATTCATGGTGTACAAATTCGGGCTTCAGCCCGGATGGGGAGTTGTAATTTAGTTAGCCAAATGGCCCAAAGAGGCGTGACGGATCTCGTGCCAAAGGCCCAAAGAGGCGACCAGAAAGCTGCGGCTGTGGAAAACTTGGTACCAATTTCTGATGAGGGAAGGATTCTTGTAGTGGTTTTTGGTTCATGGCCTACTTTTGGTATCAGAAAAAGGGTATGTCTTCCACACGACTTGATCTTGACGTTCTTGCACTGGAGCTGCCTCTCGGCTTTGCTTGGCTGATTCCGTGTGTTGGAACCCCTGGACATGTCCTTTCGGTTTCATGTCAGCGAAAAATTAGAAGCGACCAGGCCAGCATGGGGCACCCTCTGTATGATGGATAGGGTGTATTTCACAAACCTCCTTTGTTGGCGGTATAGTGTCTTGATAGGGCTTGTGCCTGCAAATAGCTTCTAAGAGTCCATGGCCCTCCCCCTCTTCTCCGTCGCGGGTCTTTCATTGGTGGCTTGGATTGGTGGTGGGAGTTGAATCTCTGGTAGGGTCCTGGGGAAACCACCCCTAAACCAGAAAATTCCAAAGCCACAAATCGAAGCCAAGGGGGAAGCATCGCTCCGCACCTTTCGGCTGTGGATCTCACTCCGCCTCCGCCCAACGGAAGTTGGACTCTCAGCGGTTCGCGAGATTCTAAGAGAGCTCCCACATTTTTCCAAGTCGACCGGGCGTTTCTCAAAATGAGTCGACCCTCTTTGGGTTGGAATTTGAAGGGAAGCCAGGCATTTTTTGGGGACCCCTATTTTGAGAATTTCCCTAGTTAATTGCAATGCCATCAAGCAGATGTCTTGGATTGTCTTGGTGCTGAGAGTGACTCAACTGCTTTGGGGGGGCAGGGCACGACGAGCTTACACATGATGAAAGCCCTTTGCTTAGGAAATCTTAGGGATACCTCATTTCCGATTTGGGAACTATAGTCATTCGCCAAGAGAGACATGTTTACAGGGACGTTTGTTCAAACATCCCAGTCGAGGCATATATCTTGCAACCGACCCTGCCTAGCCCCACTTCAAAGATGGAGAGTCTGGCTCTGCTTCCCGTGGCAGAGTGTTCTTTTTGTTGTTAAGTTTAGATATCTACCTTTCGGAAGTGCTAACTTGGTTTGTGGAAATCGGTGATCCTGCACATGTCGAACTCCCTTTTGTCCAAAGACCTTGGGGCAACCCATCTAACCGCCTGTTTGGTTTCCTCTCGTTCGGAGCTGGGTTTTGGCAGAAACCAGAGGGGTCATCCCATTGGCGTGTTCCCTGGTTCTGTGTTGCATGCTTTCGATGACCAACCATAGGCCAGGGAGTCCTTGCTGATGAACACCTCGTATACCTCGTATATGGTTTAACGCAATCTTCAGAATGGATGCTTATATACATATGCATGTACGCAAATACATGTTCGGGCGGATGGTATCTCTACGCACTTACATCTTAAAACAATAGCACAAGTAACTAACAAACTAAATAGCTAAAATCTGTTCAATGAGCAAATCAATTCAACTACAGTTATTAGTTTATGAATATGTATGTAATATGTGTACAGGCAACATGTATCTCGTGCTCAACCGCTTACAAGCTGCAGCCATATGCTACAGCAGGCACGGTTTCACCGATTACCCTGCCCCCACTGCCCTCCATTCATGCGTCCTCCATCCTCCGCAAGCTTGAAAGGCATGCATATATGCTAAGACCCCCTAGGTCTGTAGTGTTTAATTGACCTTACAACATGGATTGAGGGGGTTTTTACACCCCAAAAGATGGACTCCCGTGGGTTAAGCAGGATTTGTTTGAATGCTATTCACCAACCTGGACTAAGGGAACCTTCATGGAAGCATCCTTTGTGAGCAACTGTTTGGTGAACATCATCATCTACTCGATTCTACTCGTGCTTTTTTTCTTCTTCTTTTTTCGAGGGTCCAGCCGTTGAACCCTTAAGCCGGGCCCCCAACACAGTCCAAGCACAGCACTGCGTGGATTCCTGAACCGTGAAAGTACCCTATAAAGAGTGGACACGGATTTGGTGGGCAAGCTCAAGGTTTCCATAGAGAAAAAGGGGCGACGTCTTTTTGGGGGGCTTTATAGATAATTACGCGCTCCATTCTCGCAAGAGATCATGCACGAACTTGCTCTTGCAGGTTCCCCACAACCCCTTTTTTATTTGGGGCCTTGTGGTCTTTCAACCAAATTGGGATCCAACCCGGGCCCTCGCTTTAGAGACAAGACGCAATCAGTTTTTGATCAGGATGGCTTCAATGGCCAGTTTAAAATCCCCTTCAGCTGATTCAGGGGATTCCCTGCGTTGGATGTACTTTTCAATCGCAACCCTGTTGAGTCTTTCTGTGTCAAATGGGTCGGATGTGGCTGTGGGTCAACACCAATGGTACCATTTTGGGTGCGCTGGTAAGTGCACCACCCATTTTAGTCTATTTTAGTGGGGATTGGGACGTTCACTGGGGCTACCCGATTTGGGTTTTGACCCATGGCCAGCCTTTGCGCCGTTGAGGCGGATGGGCGCGGGTCATGGTGCGGCTGGTTGAGGCGCCGAGCGTGGCGCGGGCCAGCGAACGCCATGAGTGGGAGTACAGCCAGCGCCAGCACCAGGAGGGGCCCGTGGTGGAGTGGGTGGTGTCGGGTGAAGTCGACAGCCCATGGTGGAGGGGCATTAGTGACGGGGGGTCTCCTCCAAAATGTGTCTGTTTGCTATGACAGGCTGTGTTGGCCCCCACAGATTTGGGCCAATGAAAAGAATAAGATTGATTCATGTCGGCCCCAGATCCAAGTCGAACCTTGCGGAAATTAGGTTCCCTCTGAAAACGGACATCCTATATACGAGTTAGTCAGGGGTTGACCACTGGGTTTCCATTAATGGGCTGGGTGATTAATCTGGTGACACGGATTTGTTGAGCGGGTTGCTTTTGCGGCGTTTGAGTTGTGTAACTGTGTGTGTGTGTGTTGTGTGTGTGTTGTGTGTGTTGTGTGTGTTGTGTGTGTGTGTTGTGTGTGTTGTGTGTGTTGTGTGTGTTGTGTGTGTGTTGTGTGTGTTGTGTGTGTTGTGTGTGTGTTGTGTGTGTTGTGTGTGTGGTGTGTGTGGTGTGTGTGGTGTGTGTGGTGTGTGTGTGGTGTGTGTGGTGTGTGTGGTGTGTGTGGTGTGTGTGGTGTGTGTGTGGTGTGTGTGGTGTGTGTGTGTGGTGTGTGTGGTGTGTGTGGTGTGTGTGTGCGCGTGGTGTGGTGTGTGTGGTGTGTGTGGTGTATGAGTGTGGTGTGTGTGTGTGGTGTGTGTGGGGTGTATGTGTGTGTGTATTATTATTATGTGGTGTGTGTGGTGTGTGTGGTGTGTGTAGTTATTATTGGTGTGTGTGGTGTGTGTGGTGTGTGTTGTGTGTGTTGTGTGTGTGTTGTGTGTTGTGTGTGTGTTGTGTGTGTTGTATTATTGGTGTGTGTGTGTTGTGTGTGTTGTGTGTGTAGTGTGTGTGTGGTGTGTAATGTAATTATTGTGTGTGTAATTGTGTGTGATATTATTAGCAATTATTATATAAGGGTGTAATATTAATTATTATTATTAATTATTATTAATTATTATTATTAATTATTATTATTAATTATTATTAATTATTATTATTAATTATTATTAGTGTATTAGTAGCCGAATTATTATTAATGGTGTTATTGTGTATGGTGTGTGTGTGTGTGGTGTGTGTAATTATTATTATTGGTGTGTGTGTGGTGTGTGTGTGTGTGTGTGTATCCTGTGAATTATTATTAGTAATTATTTTATTATTAATTGTGTGTGTGTGTGTGGTGTGTGTGATTATTATCACAAGAAATTATTAATAGTGTATATTATGATATTAATATTGTAATTATTATTAATATTATTATTAATAATTATTATTATTAAGTTATGTGTGGTGTGTGTGTGGTGTGTGTGTGTGGTGTGTAGTTGTGTGTGTGGTTTTGTGTGTGGTATTATTATTATTAATGATTATTATTATTGTATTTTGGTGTGTGGTGTTATTATTGGTGTGTGTGGTGTTATTATTGGTGTGTGTGGATGTGTGTGGTGTGTGGTGTGTGTGGTGTGTGGTGTGTGTGTGTGTGTGGTGTGTGTGGTGTGTGTGGTGTGTGTGGTGTGTGTGTGGTGTGTGTGGTGTGTGTGTGGTGTGTGTGTATTAATTATTAATGTGGTGTGTGTGGTGTGTGTGGTGTGTGTGTGGTGTGTATGGTGTGTGTGTGTGGTGTGTGTGGTGTATTATTGGTGTATTATTAGTTATTATTAATGGTGTGTGTGGTGTGTGTGGTGTGTGTGGTTATTATTATTAATTATTATTAATTATTATTAATTATTAATGGTGTGTGGTGTGTGTGGTGTGTGTGGTGTGTGTGGTGTGTGTTGTGTGTGTTTGTGTGTGTGTTGTGTGTTGTGTGTGTGTTGTGTGTGTATTTGTGTGTGGTGTGTGTGTTAGTGTGTGTTGTGTGTGTGGTGTTATTAATGGTGTTATTGGTGTGTGTGTGTGAATTGTGTGTGTGGTGTGTGTGTGTGGTGTGTGTGGTGTGTGTGGTGTGTGTGGTGTGTATTAATGATTATTATTATTATTGGTGTGTTCTCATCATTAAAGTTGGCGATACTGTCACTGATATCGTTAGTATTGTTATTGGTGTGTGTGTGTGTGGTGTGTGGTGTGTGTGGTGTGTGTATGTGGTGTGTGTGTGTGAGTGTGTGTTGTGTGTGTTAATGTAATACTGGTTTATTATTAATTATTATTATTATTAGTAGGTGTGTATTATTAGTAACATGAGTGTGTGTTATTGTCAGTAAACTTCGTAATTATTGTGTGGTGTGTATTATTAATATTGTAATTGTTATGTGGTGTGTGTAGTGTATATGGAGTAATATTATTAATAATAATTATTAATATTAGTGTAATGTATGGTTTAGTAATGTGGTGTGTGTATGGGTATGTTTAATAATAGTGTGTGTGGTGTATATGGTGTGTATGAAATTAAATATGTGGTGTATTAATGATTAATATTATTAATTATTATTAATGTGGTGTGTGTGATTATTGTGTGGTGTGTGGTGTATTATTAATAGTATTAATTATTATTAATAGTGTAATGTGAATTATTATTAATGAATTGTGTTTGTAATAATTAATATTAATAATTATTATTAATATTAATTATTGTGTGAATTATTATTGTAGTTATTATTATTAATTATTATTAATATTATTAATTATTATTATTAATTATTATTATTATTATTATTATTATTAATTATTATTATTAATTATTATTATTATTAATTATTATTATGGGGTATGTATGTAATTATTAGTAATTGTGTATGGTGTGTGTTGAGTGTATTATTATGGTGTGTGTGGTGTTATTGTAGGTAGTAATGTAAGTGTATTATAGGTATGTTATTAATATTAATATTAAGTGGTGTAGTGTGAGTGTAGTGTAAATTATGGTATAATTATGGTGTAGTGTAAAGTATTTAGTAATAATTATGAGTATGGTGTAGTGTAGTGGCAGTGTGGTGTGTGTATTATGTCGGTAATATTAATAATATGTCTGATATTGTATGTATTAATAATAATAATAATATCAGTATTATTGTAATGTGTATCAATGTGTGTATCAGTGGTGACAGCTAATAATGTGTCAATGTGTGTATTGTATATATACTCATATGTATTAATATGTAGTAATATATGTATTAATATGTATTAATATCAGTATTATTAGTAGTGTGTGTCAGTGTTTTGCGCGGACTCCCTTTGAACTGCACCGAAACGGCAGTTCCCCTCGGGGGGTGGAAGGGGTCCAAAAGACGAGGTGGAAACGGGGAAAGGCAAGCCAATGTTCCATGCCCATTGTGGCTCACATGTGGGTCCAAACTGGTTCTCCTCCGAAAAGATGTCAAAGTCCATCCCGTTTTGTGTTTTTTGTTTATTGAGGACGGGTGGATTTCCCAGTGGCCACCCTAGCACGGCTCGAACGAGATTCCCCTTTTCATTTGATCGAAGGGCGGTACTGTCAGCATTCTTGAAAGTGGCTGGACATATGTCCAGCCATGTCCAGGAAAAAGTCCCCAATTTATATTCACCCATTTGGAGCCACATCAGCCTGTTCATGGATACTAGTTATTATTGGTGGCCAATGGAGACCAATGAATCAAGTTTCGAGGGGAGGATGTCCCCTTGATTGAACAGTTTAAAGTTCACCGTTTGGTTTAATTTAGATGCAGGTTCCTTTTGGTAGGGGTTGAAGGGAACCAGAAACGAGTTATCTCAAGGCAAAGCTGTTCACTCCAAATCGCACCCTTTTAAGGAGAAACCAGCTTCCTGGGAGCTGTGCGTGTGTGTGTGTGTGTATTTCCGTGCCTCCGAAACGTCCGACAGCCAGGCTGCGAGGTCTTTTTTGTTCAGTTCCCCAAGCCCTGACCCCATTTCCAAGGGTCATGGAGACTCACAGGTTTTTGAGCGTATTTGAAATGTTTTGTCTCGGCGTGAGACGATTGCTCCAGGCCGCTCTGAGAAACATCCAGAAGCAGGCGCCTTTGGTGGCTTGTTTGCTGCCGCGGAGCGGGCGGGTTGATGTGCGTAGACTGGGTGCCATGGATCCAGACTTCCAGGAGTTGTTGTTTTGCGCCGTGTTTTTTTGTGGGGAGGGTTTTCCTAAGTCATCTATTAACTGTCCATCCATTGAGGGCTTTAAGTCATCCATCAACTGTCAAAGGCGATCTGCCATGGCCGGAAACATTTTCAGATATTCTGGGAGACTTGGCAAGCTCCTGAAACCTGTGCCATGGTATAGACCCTCCCACACGGGTGCTTTGAAGGGGCTTTTGGCCTGTTCCTGATTTGCTTTGTTGAGATGCTCACCTTAAACAGTCAGTTTCCCGAGGGTGTTGGTGTTTCTTTATTTTCCATTCTTCAAGTCTGCCTTCAAAGTCAAATTTTGGAGTCAGCAAACAATACGTCTGGCCATGGATCCCATGGTAAGAGGGAACCCCCCAAAACAGGCCGCCAAAAACAACCCAGTATCCCCGAATAGGCCTTATCAGTCCTACACGCCCTGTTGTAAATTGGGGGAGCCAACCACAATGCTGATTCCGAATTCATAAACCCCTGGTTGATTTTTATCGGGGGGTCCCTTGAATTTGGACTTTTGGCACGAGCGTCGAACCCCTGCCAGGCCGGTCACGACTTTGGTCGCGCCAGCTCGGCCCAGGCGCGAACAAGGGCTCTGGTGAAAATACGATTGAGTCTGAAGGTTCGGACATCGGTGTGTCTTAAAAATAGGGGACCACCGGTCCACAAAAGCAAGCTTTGCATTTTGTTGATTTTCTTTCAAACTGGTTCCTTGACTGACTCCGGCAAATGTACTATTCCAGCGATGTTCTGCACATATAGGGCCCACAACCGTGCCTTGTTAAGCAACCTTTTTGGGGATTCACTATTCCCCAGCCACTACCCCCCAGCGAAAATGTACATACGAGGAGTCCCTATGGCTATATGGGGTAATCAAAATAGTGGTTGGTTGGCTGGCTGGCTGGCTGGCTGGCTGGCTGGCTGGCTGGCTTGCTGGCTGGGCTGGCTGGCTGGCTGGCTGGCTGTCTGTTTGGTTGGTTGGTTTGCGTGGTGGGTCGATGTTTAGGGGTGCACACCTGGAGCCTAAGCAAAGGTTAATTCTGAGTGCTGCGGAGCGGCCCCAAAATGAGAGTTGCCCAACAAGCTTGCATTAACAGGATAACATCCTGCCATACCAAGAGAACCCCAAAGGCATTGAGATACATCCTTGAAATCCCTCATCAACTACAAGGTAAAGTCTGGAGTATCAGCTCAATTTTCTGGAGCCAAACACGTTTTAAAGCCTGAGGTTCTTCGACAGCGTTGCTCCGAGCCGTTTGCAACAGATGATCACATTCCAATGGAAGAAACATACTGTGGATGGAATAAATCCATCAAGTGTTCCCTGTAAACAACAAACAATGGTGTCCCATCATTTCAAAGTGGGGCGACATGGATTTCGTCCATCCACATGTTTCCTTCCGCTCCCCTTTACCACTTGGCCCGCAAGAGTCTGGCGAGAAGCGGGAAAAAAAGACTACGACCCAGTCTGACGAGGAAAGCCAGGCGCAGAAGCTGCGTCGGGAGCCATCTGGCCATGTTGATCCAGTCCTAGTCCCGCTGCACGACGGAGGTCAGTACCTGCCAGGAGATCAAGAAGGCAGCTCTGCTTATAAGTTGGCTCAGAGAACTCTCTTAAATGGGGTTTTATTTGGTTTATGGCCGTTTTGTTTCTTTCAAGCAGAGGCGACCGAAGCCTTCGGCGGCCCAGGGGCCAATGTTCGACCCCAAAGCTCTTTGCAAATCGGGTCTTTGGAGCAACTCTGAAGGGAAAACGTCGAGAAGGCAAACTTTTTTTCGGATGGCTGTCAACAACACCCCCAGTTGGCGTTGTGTTTCACCCAACCCCATTGAACGGAAGTTTAGAGCCACATTTCTTGCCAGAATTACAAGCAATGCGTTCGCTCAGGCAGGGTAGGATGTAGGGAGGGGCCTGTTGGTTTGGGGGTTAATCTTCTTGGTTTGTGTCAGGGTTGGGACAACCCCTTTGTTAAACACCTATTATTTGATCCTCTTTTTGGTTGCTCTCAACAGGGTGCCAGGATCTGGTTGTCACCCTGGTTGATTCAAAATCGTTTAGGAGGTTTTCAATTCAGACAAACGGAAACCACCCACCTGGTCGGCCCGGTTTGAGTCAAGCGGATTCTCCATGCTCTTCCATGTTTGCTTTGGCGCATGTTGCTTGGATGTTAGGACTTTAACTTTTTGCCAACTGATGGGCTTTCCATTAAACCACTAAAAGTTAAACTTTGAGCAGGGGAGCAAGAAAAGCAATCGAGTTCATACTGCTTGGAAACCACTCTGGGGGAGCCTGGGTCATCTAGATTCCCCTCCGCCCGACTCGTAGGCCCCCAACCGGCGCTCCGGCGACTCCTACCTGCGCCGGGTGCATCTGGGCAGGGAGAACCGCAAGGCGCGGTCCCGCTTGGCGCTTTCGCGACTTCGCGGGAAGGGGCGCTTTACGCGTTGTCGAGGAAAGCGCGGTGCAATGGAGGACCCTTTGTGTTTTGTATGTGTTTCACTGGGGGACACGTTTCACCTTGGTTTGAAGGGAACCCAAAACCCCTCTATTTTGACACATATTAGTTGCCAGTGTTGCATGCATAAGGCATTTGACCATCACAATTGAGTATCAGAATGGTGGATCTTTTTTTCCAGGCTGCCCGATGAATTTCTGTCAAATCGCCCCAAATAGCCCCTATCGAGGTCACTTAATCATTATGGAGCTGTTGGGGAGGTCCTACGTATCCAAAGTTTCACTTACGACTTGCTTCCCCAGCATTCGCCAAGCGGGGGAAATGCGCCCGAAAGATTGGGCAGAGACAATCGAATGGCTTAACAACATGCTCAGACTTTTGTTTGGCCACTCCAGGAAGTACACCATGCGCCAGAGTTGCACATCTTCAGTGATCCGCGCTTGGGGTGTCTGGGGTTTCAGTCCATTACTCCATCACCCCAAACCAGTTTAAGCATCATTTGTTGAACACATGTACCGTTCAAGCCTATTCAAGCCAGTTGCAAAATCACTTTGACTAATTGCAGCTGGGTGGCTTTGGGGAACCTTTGTACAGGGTCGCTCAAAGACACACTTCTGGACAAGTTCTACCGAGTTCACAATTTGGTCAAACGGCCGTCCCTTGCTTCGGGATTCATATTCAAGTTTTGCATTGTATAGCAATTTGGCTAGGTACATGTTGGTCATGCAGAATACCACTTCATCTATCAGCTGTTTTGGGTGGCCCCTCACAACGACTGGTTTCCCTGTGCTTTTTCTGTTCATTTCCCATGAAAAAAGGTACCCTCAGTCCGAAGTAGACATGGCGGTCAAACTCCTGTGGGTACGACGAAAGATGCTTCACTGCATACCAGGCGGAATCGAGTCATTTGTGCCCACAGGTCATGGGTGGTCTTTGCCCCAAACGCCCCAAAAGGACCTTTCCATGACACTAACTTCCATTTGCTTAATAATATTTGTTATTTTGCCCTGTTGGTTTTAAAAGGAATCTATCACTGCTGTTTTTCTGTTTTTTTTTTTTTCAGGGGTCTTAAACAAATGGAAGTTAAAGTTGATTGACCTTTTCCTCGTGGAGGAGCAACCCACAGGTGTGTGGCGTTAACTTGGAGCTTCGCTGGTTTCTGCCCTGCAAGCGAACATGGAACCCGAAGAGTTTCTCTGTGAGGCTCTGTGGGGTTCCAGCTGCACTGGGAGATGAGTGTTGGGCAAAACTGAGTTTTTGCAAGATGCAATATTATGTTTTTGTCCACCATGCTGATCAATCCTGAAGGTGCAGTGTTGGACTTCTTCATCACCACACCATTTTCACATGTATTGAGTTGTTTGGTGGTGACTCGAGCACCGGTACCAAAATAGTAAAGAGAAGTGTCCAGCGACGTGGTTTGAGCTGGCAGAGTGAAAGTTTCACACACTCTTGCACAGAGATTCGTAGGTGGAAGACGTATTTGTCCAGGATTTCCGCTGCTGGAATTGGAGTTTGGAAATGACAGACTCCCCACATACGAGAGTGGCCTAACAAATAATAGTACGTAGGGCTGTGGGCTGCGTTGCAATCAATTTAACCTCATGGTCATAGGAGCAACGCCCCTATCCCAGTGCGTCCATCTGCCACCAATATGTAGCCAAGGGAAGACCTTTAGAAAACTTCAGGGAGACACTGTGCTTAACTATTGTGATAAGTTGGATCCCCAAAGAATATTGTGTAAAGCTATGCCAAAGCTATTGGGATCTCAGAAGAAGTGTTCTATTTTGAGGTTGACATATTGTCATATGGTTGCCGGAATCTGCCCACGTCTCATTTTTGTGATCAGCCTCAGATTTGGGGGCCAGGTGTTCTGATTTTCTCCTGTTGCTACCCTTTTCCATGTGGAGCATCTACCCCTCCGATTTCCGCGCAGTTGGTGGAGAAGCTGGATAGCATCGCCAGGGGCTACGGAGGCGCAGCTGGAATTGCATGATGAGGTATGGAGCCACATGGCTGTGGGTCAAAAATAGGTACCCAAAATGGAACCCTGGTAAATGGAAACATGGACTAAAACCTGCGGTCCCCTGGTGGTTTAATTTTGACCCATACCCATATATGCCTTTTTTTCCAAATTTTGGAATTAAGTACAATGTGCGGATAGAATGGAGGAGCAAGCAATACATACTCCCTGAGTCTTGAAAATGCGTTTCCTGTTCATGTCAGTTTGGTTGAACATAAATGCAATCCTGTTCTTTTTAGTCATTGACTATTCTTCCAAAAGGACACTTAGGCCCAGCAATTCGCGAGTTGGGGTCAGTGTTCAACTAGTGGAGTTTGGCAACTCTCAGCCTCACATCAGATTGACACGACCCTTCAAGGTCAAACTGCAGGCTTCGGGCAGTCCACTGAGCTGCCGCCAAGACGTTTTGGAAGGGACGTGGAGCCCTTCTGTTTGGGGAGAGACGCCTTCTCTTGGCTGGGGTGAAACAGGGGACGATGTTGCCAGTCTAGGAAACATGAAATCCCAGCGACAAAGTTCCTTACACCACATGCACATGGATGGAGCTTTCTTTCTGAGGGCACAAAGTTGTAGAAGGGTCCATTTCAAGAAATCGCTGATTCCAAAGCTGGCAACTGGTGTGCTCAACGAGCGGTTCCTAAAACAGCTCTCCATTTCCCCAGAGTTACGCGAAGCCCTTGTGCGCAGTACAAGGCAACCGGGTAGGCCACCACAAAACGGCATCCACCCTCACGAAACCTCATGGAGCACTCACATCAATGCAGTTGTATTCTCAACTTCGGGGACCCAAGCATTACAAGGAGTCAACTTCTGGTTTCCCTACGCCAACCCCAGAAACGGGCGAGCCTTACAACAAGCGCCAGCCCCCCTCCGCGCGCAGCTTGGGATCCACGGGCGCCGCCCTCCAAGAAGGACTACCGGGTCGTGCCAGGCCGAGCTTGGAGCTCTCGCGCGGCTCCGTTGAAATTTGACCCCCCAAAGCGGAGGGGTTCTCGTGGCTTGCCGAGCAAACCCAAATGCATGTGTGCGTAATATATGCTGATATATTTGTATATATATATATATATAAGTGCACAATGCCTACACAGAAGCAGGAAACGGCTACATATTGGGTGTATATATATGTATAGAGTTAGGTGTGTGTGTGTGTGTGGGTGGGTGGGTGGGTGCGTGGGTGTGTGGGTGTGTGGGTGTGGGTGGGTGTCGGTGTGTGTGTTTCTGTGTGTGTTTGTGTGTGTGTTTGTGTGTGTGTTTGTGTGTGTTGGTGTGTTGGTGTGTTGGTGTGTTGGTGTGTTGGTGTGTTGGTGTGTTGGTGTGTTTGTGTGTTTGTGTGTTGGTGTGTTGGTGTGTTGGTGTGTTTGTGTGTTTGTGTCTGTGTGTCTGTGTCTGTGTGTGTCTGTGTGTGTGTGCGACCATCTTTGTATATAATATATACATATATCTATATGCACACTGTATCTACATATAGACATCAGCAGCAACGTTTCCCTCCCTGCTACGCCCTAATCTATACATTGTAGCACCAAACGGAAAAGTTGCAGCATTTGATCACTGCTGTTACAATTGTAACACCGGTGCTTTGCCCGATCGAGACCGTTCCAAACCGTTGGAAACTCTTTCAACCCAAAAAGTGTTCAAAAGGCGTTCAGCAAGCGGTCGCAAGTCGTTCTAGAGCGTTCGGAGCTTTGCAGAACCGTACTGTTGTGACAATTTGGTCGTTGGTGCTACATGACCCGAACGTGTGCAACAAAGATCCGATTCAGGCAGGATTTTGCAAATGTTCCGTTTGGTGTTACAATTATACAAATTGAGGGGTAGCAGGTGCAGGCGCACCGACGCCAGGCCCCTTCGTGCCGCCTCGTGACCAGCTATGGAGGACCCGGACGCATGGGGAGGTTGCTTGAATCTGAGCCAAACTTCTTCGGTAGGAACCCTGACACCGGGTGTCCAAATTTCTTCGGGTCGACGACCAACCTTAGTCGGGACACTGGATTACACCCATCCTACTAATAGAGGAGTGAGGGATTCCGACCAAAAGGGAACATCCTCCTATCAACCAACTCGGGGTTTATTAATCTGAACTTTCCAGTATGATCAAGAAAATTTGGTGGCTTAATACTTACGCGTACAGTATTCTCTTGTGATCATGACTTCACATGGTGCAGAAATCGACGGTCTTCAACCCTTCAGAAATTGGAGAATGTGCCAACAATTTGAGGGGTCACTTTTGGGTGCTCAAATGTGCAAAACCTCACAATGAGCCGTTTGCGTGTTGTTTTCTTTGAAAAACCAATCTCAACTATGGTACTCTCGACCAAAAAGATGCCCAATGAGCTATTTCCCTGGAAGCTATCCAAAAGGAGTTCCCTATTTGAGACAGACCAACTTGCGAATCGACATGACCTGCGGAATTCTAGACTTGGCAGCAGTGCACACTGGATTGTCCCATCCTGATTTGGATGCGCCGTGAAACGAATGTTTGCAAAGCTGTCGCAGAGTGGCTCCAAACCTCCAAAAAATGGGCTTGCCGTTTTTCAGGAGCCCGCTTTAAACTCGTTTAACGGGAAGCGAAAAGGCAAATCGCAATTTGTTGGAGTCGTCCTAAAAAAGACAATGAACGAAACATTGTAGAGCTTGGTTTTGGTGTCCTTCTCCCTTCACCGGGGCCCCAGTGTGCTGTCCAAGGTATGTTTTGAGCTTGCGGGAGAGTGTCCGAATGGATTTCGCACAACATATTTGTGCTTGTGCAAATATGTCTTCAGCTGTTTGTTTTGAAGGGTTGTGACGTAGGAATGTTGGGATAGGGATCCTCAACCACCAACGTACGGTTTCCTACAACCGCGGACCCCGGATGAATCAAGCTCGTCTTGTTGTTACCATGATCCGGATTCCCTAAAACGGGGTGCTCCCCCAACTCATCAACCACAAAGCCGACCTTGTTGACCTTTGATTTTCCCTTTGCATGTTTAGTCGCCCCAAAACCTTTCGTCCTGGCAGCTGAGGGCTTTGTTGGCATGGTTGAGTTGGCGCAGGCCGGAGCTGGACAAGAAGCCTGAGCGGGTGAGGCCCAGTCAGACTGCCTGCCAGTCCCGTTTGATCGAATAGCCATTGCCAGAGGGTCCCTACGGAAACTTTTGTTTGTGGATTCAAAGGAACACCCAGGGAAAATCAGCATTTTGGGGATCCCCCTTTATTTTTTAAGCAAACATACCCAACAGAACTCATGTTTGGCTGTGCTGCCTCTTGGGTTTCCTTCATCCACGGAGTGTAAGTCTGAGGCTTGGCCAGTAGCGGCCCATGGTGGCCAGATGACACAAATGTCTACCCTGTGCCAACGTCTTTGCAACTTATGACGTTGCCCTGAAAGTTCATGAAGGCAACCCTAGCTTCACATGGTTACACCCACTAATCTATTTTGCAGCCGGCACGATGCCAGAGTGCTAGACCCTGACATTCCCTTGCCTGATACTTGATGAAGAATTGAACAGAGGGCGAGGGAAGACCACCTTACCCATCGTGGTTCAGTCCCGTTTTGTTTGTGTTTGGGATCCACCACGATGCACTTTTGTTCTACCAGGGTCCATGTTTGCAACGGTTCCCTGAAGAGAGAACCTGGGACACTTGCGCCCCCTGCGCCCCCAGCCCCAGAAGCCCCCACTCTCGTCGCAGGTCCTTGAACGAGGCCTACCGCTTTCGCATGCAGAAGTCCATCATGCATGCGGAAACCTCAGTCTGGAGTCACACGCAAATCACCATGCAATATGATTTGTTGAGTTGGTGTTCCAAGCATTTCCCAAACAATTCCCAATTTTGTTGTTTGCCCGATGTTTTACTGTTTGCTTGTTTGTTGCTTGCTTGCTTCTTTGCTTTGTTGTATTTATGACGCGCCATTGCCGCATCTGTCACCCAGCGTTCTGCCGCCATCTTTGAGGAGAACGAGGCGATGGTGAATCGGATCTTGGCAGTTGGCCCGACCTTCGACCGCAAGTGCGAGGCGAAGCGAAGAATTCGCGGGTCGTTGGCCGACAAAAAAGTCGTGGAAGATTTTAAGCTGCTTAAGAACACTTGGATGTTCGGCCAAGTTTGTGTCAGTTTGGCCAAATGGTGTTTTGACCCCCTAAGGACAAGGTTAACCCCACGGAACGGAACACCGCTTCAAATTAACATGGAACCCATCTACGAACGGTGGGTTTTGGGGTTTCCATGTTAAGCTTGTAGGGGGGTATTTGTTAGTTTCCCCTGTTGGTTTTGAAGGACATCTATCACTACTCAGCGTCCCTGCACCAGCCGGCAACACCTCCCCTTGTTAGAGTGACCCCTCGTCATAGTTGTGGAAATATGTTTTCTGTTGCTGAATATGCTTTCCAGTGCTGGAGGAACACGAAGGGTTCCTTTCACCAAACGCTGGTGCACACTTGGGGTTGTGGGGGGGGGGGGCCGGTTGATCCCTTTTTGCAAGCGGGGAACAAGGGCAAGCCTGCAGCATTGCTGCGGTTTTCCATTGAAATGAGCCAAACCAATGTGGCAGCGGGTTTCCAATGGCCACTCGCCTGGCGAGAACTGTAAATGGAACTTGTTGCAAGGCTGCAACGTGGACTGCCGTGGTCAGGGATGGGGTGGGGTCAGAAGGCTAATTTTGTCGTTTTAGGTCATGTTGAATGTTCATCACATTTTACAAGAACTCAAGGAATAGTCCGTACGCCAACAGTCCGTATGCCTGCTCTCTCTCTCTCTCTCTGTCTTCCGGTCTTCCTGTCTTCCTGTCTTTCTTTCTGTCTTTGTTTCTTTCTTTATTTCTTTCTTTCTTTCTTTCTATCCTTCCTTCCTTCCTTCCTTCCTTCCGTCCTTCCTTCCTTCCGTCCTTCCTTCCTTTCCTTCCTTCCTTCCGTCCTTCCTTCCTTCCGTCCTTCCTTCCTTCCTTTCTTCCTTCCTTCCTTCCTTCCTTCCTTTTGGTTTCTTTCTATTTGTCTCGGCATTTTTTCTTTCTATCTGTCTCCGTCTTGCTTTCTTTATCTCTCTCCCTCCTCTCTCCGTCAGGCTCACCAATGGGAATTCATGGCAAAGCAAGTCCCTAGTTTTTTGTGACTTCAACATGGGGTTGGTCGGACCCAGGTGGAAAACCACATTGCTCAACACCAAGGGTTGATGACCTTCGGAAAATCACTCAGCGTCCGGCTGTTGGGGGCCTTAGGGTAGCTGGACATGCTTTCGGGCCCATCCTGCATCCATGTTTCCCGATTTTTCGGAGGCTCGGGACTTCAGCCGGCACAAGAGGCAGGTGTGAGACCGAACTTGTGATGCCATTTGGCCCAGCTTGCTGGTCAGATCAACAAAAGTGTTGGTTGAATAGGAGGGTTAGTGCATTTTGGAGGGGATCCGGGTCACTTGGTGCACCCCGTCGACAGGTTCTGACCAACGCCGAAAGGGGGGCAAATGGGGTCTTTTTCACCCAAAATGAGTGGTGTCCTTGTTAGTTGCCAAGTGAATCCAACCAAAAAGGACCCTTCCGCGATCTTTGGAACCCCGTTGCTCTTTGAGCGAACTAACCTTTTGGATCTTGTCCCCACAAACCCGCAAACAGCTCGACCCAGATGTGTGTGTTGCAAGTGTGCATACATTTGCATACAGCTAGCTTATGCATATTGTTACATACGATTGTGTCTGAATACACGTGATACTTAGCACATTGCATGCAGCTTGCAATTGTATGTACATACACATGCTGTGCTATGTATACATGCCTGTACATATGTTGAGAGCGAGGGTGATACGCACATATTATGATACTATATATTTATACACACACATGTGCATTCCGGCACTCGCTGTTTCGCGGCGTTTGGGTCAAAACGGCGGAGGACGGCGCAGAGTTTGCAGCGCTTCTCGGACCGCAGCTCCTTGCCGCCTCCGAGGCGCGGGGTTTGGCGCCGGCCAGAAGGCGGTGGATGGATTTCGCGAAATCCATTTCGCACCACACAATGAAATCAGGGTTGAAGCCAGAACGTTGGTTGGAATTTACCAAAATTTCAGGGGTTCTTAGGTGGTGCAAGATTTCGCCCATCTGTAGTATGTTTCATTCTTCGGTGGTTTTAAGCACCGGACATGTTCCAAGATTTCAGGGATTCTTAGGGTGATGTTGTAGGGGAAATTTAGCAGCCCCTGTGACGACCCGTCTAAATATATATACATAAGTGTTTTTTTTGGTGTAAAGAAAGAATATGTAGGGACATGACACCAACAGGCAAACCCATTTCGTGGGTCCCCTTTGGCATAGTCTCCATTTTACTATTTGGCAGGCAGGGTATGCAGTAGACCTGTTTTCCCTTCAAGTCTTCAGAGCACCAGAATGTGCGGCCGCGTGTGACGCGGTTTTCTTGCAGTTGTTTTGGCAGGCTCTGAAAGCCATCTGAGCGGAGTTTGCGACTGGTAGTTGGGTCCAGTCTGACTGAGTTCTTTAAAGTCAATCCTTAGTCCTCATGTCAGATCTGGATTAGGGATCCCGGTTTTTTGAAGCACTCAGGCTACAGGTTCACACCTCATTCTGCCCCCATCGCTCTTTTGGGAAACCAGATTGTTCGGATGTTTAGGCAACTGTACGAAAGAAGGATCCAACTTACAACTGGGTGTTTCTCAAAAAAGGAATCGGCCCCTTAAAATGGCCAAGGCGTCCTTGGTTTCCCTGTGCACATAATTGTGTGAAACTCCCAAATGGGTTGCCAAGTAATCACCAAATGGACAATTTCACGGAAACCAAATGAGCCACAATAAGAATCCCGGGTAGTTGAAGGTTTGTAAGGGACAGTCCCAACCAGAAATGGGTGGCTTCGCCGCCTTTTTAGAACCCAGTGCATCCCAGTTACCCATCAATTTTCCTCTTGAAGGGTGGTTCCTTTATTTATGTTACTCAAACAAATGGAGTCACTGGGGAAAACACCACGGACACCAAATGGACGTCGACCTTTTGGGGCCTTCCGTTTGCGCTCGGCAGGCCCCTGCCGAAACTGCGAGTGCCGCGGCCCAGTAGCAGTTGGACGCCGCAGGGCCTAGAGGCGCACTCCGCGCTCCGAGGTCGAGAGGGGCAAAGTGTCCGAAGGGGCGAAAGAGGCGAAGGCACCCCCAGTTGTGAAGGAACACCGATTTTTGGACCTTCACTTTGATGCATTTTGCTTGGATGTTAGGACTTCAACTGGTTGCCAATTAATGGGTTTTCCATTAAACCACTAAAAGTTAAACTTTTAGCAGGGGAGCAGAAAGCAACCGAGTTCATACTGCTTGGAAAGGACCGATTTAATGGAAAAAGCGGCGGCTGAGGTCATAATTTTGCTGGTTGGACATGACGGATTCAAATAAAAACAGGGCGGTTGAGGCCAGGTGTCAAGGGCATACAGAGAGCCCTTTTCGATGCCGGACTTAGATTACATTTTAACTTTCTGCCTGTTTGGTTTTCCGCCATATTTTCTTGCCTGCCCTTAGTGACAACTTTTTGCTAGTGGGTCGGATCAGTCTGGTCAAGAGTTGATGTGACAGCACAAACCTTGGTTTGTGATGACAAGAGGGTCCTTCTTGATATCCCCTGGTTTCAAATTGAGGATCAGCCAAAGGCCTGCTTTAGGGTCCGTAAAGATCAAGGAAAGGATTCGAGCATATGCGGGTGTCGTAAAGACCAGGACCTCCTTGGAAGTTTTACTTTTGAGGTTCACCAAGTATGGCCCAGAATCAGAGACTTGCTCCCGGAGCTCCTAGAATTTAGACAATTGACGGAAGACACTTGTTGTTGGAAAGACCATCTTTTGGAAGACACTTTCTGAGGCACGGTTGCTAAGCCAGTCATTTGGCCTTTGGGGGTGCAACCGTTCCCCGTGAATCAAGGGGTTGATTCCCCATTCTTTGCAACCATCGTTCTTTTCAAAAACCAGCTGTTTCCCCTGGGATTCTGTTGGTTTTCTGAAAAGAAGGATCCCTGGAAAGAATGGGGAAGTGTCCCCTAGAGTGAAGGCCGGTTCTAAACACCCCCTTTTAAAATCGCAAGTCTTAGCTCAGTTTCCTTGTGCTGGCCCGGAAGGACAGGCTCTGAGTGAGTGACCCCTATCAAGAGCACCCGGTTTGGAGCTGATGTGACACCACTGACCCGGGTATGACATGGAGTTGACCTGAGTTTTCTGAGGTTTGCAACCCAGGTATATATATATATATCCTATGATAACTTGCCCAAAGCCAAGCCTGAGAGCAAACAGTCGTGCTAGGTACCTGCAGATTTACATTGGACCCGCTTTCAGGGACCAGCCCCTCTAAAGTTTCTTGCGTGAATTCCGACTCGGGGGCAACGTCAGGGAGGTGGGTGCCGACCCGTTCGCCAAATAAGTGGGTTAGAACTCCAGGGTTAGCCACTTGCCTGACTTTTGCCTTTTTAGGCACAACCAGCTCCTTGTTTAAACATGCTAAGGGCACCCGTTCAAGCACAATTATGTTGCTTTCCCATAGGCCATACTCAGCGGGTGAGTGCCCCGACTTGAAGCCACGTCTTTGCCAAGACCTTTGAACAGTGTCCAAGCATTTACTTGGTTAGGGATGGTCATGAACGTTAAATGAGGTTTGTTGCCAAAGCATTCGGAGCAGCTCAGTCAGGGCCTGCTTGTTCCGGGGGACCTGTGCCGCTCGGGATCCTGTCCAGCCATGGCCGCCTACTCAGAGGTGGGAGGTTTGCCTTTGGCGATGGCCTGAATCGTAGGGTTTCCGACTCCAGCCCTTCAAACGGTCCCTAAACCCAGTTGCCCAGTGGATTCTGCCTTTGTTTCCTCTTTTTGGGGGGAAGGGTTCCCCTTTAAACTCCAGGTTCAACCGACCAAAAAAGGATGCCGATTCTTTTTTGCCCATGGCCTAGACATCTGAACAGAGTCCCGGAGGTTTCAACCGCAGGGGTCCCTATTCTGCCCATGAACAAGCCATAGGGGTGCCTTAGAGCATGGATTTGGCCAAGAAAATCGCCCCACCAGCTGAAAAAAAGAGAGGGAGGATCCGGATCATTGTCTTGGTGCAATAAGTAGGGAAAGAGTTGGAATGACCCGAGGAGTCCCCTTAAAGGAAACCACCAGTTGGATGGTTTATTTTGGGGTCAGACTTTATTTCTCATTCCCTGCATCTCTCGCATCAGCAAGTTGTAAAAACAGTTGGTGTTTGGACGTCAGAAGCCCTCCGTTGACTCAAAGATTTCCAGAGAATGAAAGGATTAGCCATCGCTGAAATGTGCTGCTTGCCCAGTTTGCCTTGAGTGGTTTCTGTCTCCAGGTGTCACGGTTCAAATATCTGCCCTTTTTTATGGCGAGCTCACCGATTCGGTGGGGTATAACGAGCTCACCATGGTCTTAGGGTCCTTTACTAGGGGATCCAATTCTTACTTCGCTTGCACATGTGGGACCTGAATGGACCACCAGATTAGGGTCTCATGGTCAGGGCCCCTTGGGGAACACGAAGGCAGCAAGAGTCTCATGTGGGAAGATGTGGCCGCCTCTGTTTGGTAAGGGCTATAAAGCCACCAAAGTAGGTCTATAAACCCACTAAACCTAAGAATTCTAGAAGGTGTATAATGTATAGCCCAAGGTATACCCGAACAGGCTATAAACCCAATGAACCAAAGACCCAATTTATACCGAAAGCATTCGTCCAAGAGTTGGCTTTGGGCTTTGGGCGGCAGCGAATCGATGCGAAAGGCCGAGCGCAAAGTGGAATCCGACAGCCTGAGTCCAAGAGAACCAATCGCGTGGTTGTTCCCCAAAAAAGGTGGTTTCTTTTGGTGTGTCCCTCTAAAACCAGCCCAAAAAGGATACCCTCCAAAAAGGCACGTTTGGTTGGATTTAACGGCAACACATCCATGTTCTGGGGGCTCAATAATTAGGACCTGCTTATGGCTTACGGAGGAGGGGTATTTTGTTACCTGGTTCTTTGTGTTTGTGTTTCTCGTTTTTGGCTTCTTGGCTTTTTGGCTTCTCGGCTTCTTGGCTTTTCGGCTTTGCTTTCCCAGTTGCTCTCCAGCAGGTGGCGTTTTGGCTCTCGCGGCTTCTCTTTGGTTTATGCAGCTTTGGTGGCTTTTTTGTCTTTGGCTTTTAGCTTCTCATTGTTTCCAGGGGACTTCAGCAAGTGGACGTTTAGCCGTTAGCCGTTAGGTCCTCGTACCTGGGCAACAAGGGGACGTCAAACGTGGATAGCTGAATCCTGAGGGAGAATTGGAAGATTGGGTTCAAGAGGTTCCGGCTTTGAAGAGCCGTGGTTTTCCATGTTTCGCCCAAGCCCCAAAGGTGGGGTTCTCCGTTTTCTCGAGGTCGACAGGCGCTGAGGGCACAAAAGATAACCCCAAGAGGGGCGGAAACCCGTTGATAGGTCGCGCCGGGTTGGTGGTAAACAGGATAATCATGATAGTAGGTCAACGTTTAGAAACATCTTGCATCTTGGCCATTGGCTCAAGTGATGAATACAGGGGCAACAAAGTACTTAGTTCGTGGTTCATAACCCTGGTTATCCCTGAGTTCATCATATTGGCTGGAGTTCAACGCCAAGTAAGTGGGTTGAAGCCAGGGTTACCAACGGCTTACCTGACTTACCGTGCCCCACCCACAAGTCCCCTTGAATTGCCGCAGCACTTTCTGACGTGCCCTGCCGCTTGCCAGACGCCAAGCAAAAATGGTACCGAGCCTCACGCCCTTGTTGGAGTTGGTACCTTTCCTCGGGCTCTTTACACCAAGCCAAAGGGACACAACCCAGCTTCCCAGGTTGAAGGAAGGGAAGATACGCCATATGTAAGCATGATTTAAGCCACCAAACTGTTTAAACAATTAAACCACCAAACTGTGTAAACAATTAAACAACACCCCCTTTTGGTTTCCTAGATGTTATTTAAGTTGATTAGTTGCGTAGTTGTTCCTTTTGGTTTCCTATACGTCCCTCACAAACACAAACCTGACTGCCGCACTACCGAGTTGAGCCAAGCAGCTCGGTTTCAGGCTACACGGAGCCCTCAGAGATGAGCCCCAGCACACAGATCAGTCCAGGCAACTCAGGGCATCTCGGGGCCAATCCGGCCAGTCGATTTGGTGGGTCTGGGTATTACATATCAGGACCCCCAAGAAAGGGGGAATCGGCTTCCCTTTAAGACAAGGTGAAAGGTGTGTCCTTCAAAAACAACCATATGTATACATTATATATATTATATATATATATATATGTATATTTTATACATGGGTATATGTGGGCACCCGAATTTGCCCAGGTGTCAGGCACCAAAGCCCGGCAACCCTCCGGAAGCCTCCCTGAGTGCTGCGTGTCAGTTTGGGTTCCCCTGCAAACCAGCTGAAAAAGGTGTCCTCAAAAAGAACCCATCATAGGTTTCCCCTGGAAGGATAATTTTCTACATCAGTGCGGGCGATGTTTGGAGGGGCAATATAGGGACCCTGGTCTGAGGCGATGGTTTGAGGGGGAAGAAGTGGCCCAGTGGAACCTCGTTGGAACAACACACAGACACAATTTGCTTTCCCATGGCCACTGGGAAGTCTCGAAAATGGTTGACGCAAACATCTCACCATGATGTCCATTCAAAGGGCCAACATTTAGTATCTTGTCCCTTTTTGAGGACCACCAAAATGGGCGGTTTCCAACTGGTTTCCCTTTTAAGAGAAATTGAAGGGTATCCTCACAGATATCATCAGGGTGACCTCCTGGTTTTGGTGTGTGACCGATTTGGCTGCAAATTCCTTTGATGGCAGATGCTTAGATGCGTGAGTTATGATTATTTCCCAGATTGATGATCAAAGGTGAACCTCGTGTGAGGAGACTTGCAAAAAAGGATGTTCAAAGATGTCCAGGTCAATGACAAACACAACCAATTTAAGTTACAACAAAGAAGCAACAAAGGAACACCAAAGGGACGGCAAAGAGACAGCAAGGAGCACAACCACGTGCTGCATTTGTCGATTTCGCACCCCGGAACTCCTCCGAAAGCCAAACCTGCAAACTCCTCCCGCAGCACCCCAGAAGGTCTGGCAAGGAAAGCAGCAGAGCAGAAAGCAAAAACAGTGAGAAAACAGGGAGAAAGCCCCGGAGGGAAAAAGAGACACCAGCAGCAATCTGGAAAGACGTGCAGCAAAGAGAAAAAGCAGCTGCAAATCAACTCTGGAAAATTGGAGAAACGGAAAATGAGAGAAACATGTCATAATTGCTCCCCTCCCCCCTCCCCCTCCCCACTCGGAATGCCAAGAGCTGATTTTTTCGCGGAACTCGGCGCTTGGTTTCGCAGGCCGCACCTCCCACGGTGCAGGCGGGGTTGGGCGAAACACATTTCCCAGCTTCGGCCAATATATGTCTGCTTTTTGATGGTAGGGGGGCCAACCCTCCATTTCGAACATAGCTAAAGATGGTGGCACAGACCCTCGTGGCCGAGAAGTTTCCAATTTTTAATCCCGACTCCCGACGCGAGTGCGCTTGATGCATTGCCGTCACAAGAGCTCCCGCAGGGAACCCTTGGCTTCTTGTCCTTGTTTCTTCATGGACAGTTTAGGGCATCCACCAGGCATCAACAGTATACAACTAGCATACTTACCAGAAAATACTAGGGGATGGACGCCAGGGGGTACAAGGGAGAGATTACTGAGATGACAATGTGACTGGCTTAGCCCGGAAACTGGATATGAACTTTTTGCGAAGGCACTCTTTTCAGGCGTGATTGAAGTGACACGAAAGGGAAAATCCGCCATTATGGGGGTCCCTGTTTTGGACACATACCTAAATATGAGCTTGTCTCACAGGAAACCAACCCTCAGTTCCCGCGTTTCTGGACTTCATACTTTCTGGGAAGACCACTTTAGCGGCAAACAAGGACGATTCGGTCAACCAAATCTTTATACTTTCTACTTTAAGCAGCATTTTAGTCGTAGGCAAAGGACTTTGGTAGCTGTTTTTGGCCAATAGGTCCATGATGGTTGCCATTTAGTCGTAAACAGGCCAACCCACTCGTGCCAGGCGAAGTGGCCTCAGGCCATGGGAGCGCCAGCCCAGAGAGTAGCCTAGGCGAGGAAGCCATGGGGCGAGGAGTCTTGGGGCACCAACAAAAGACCCTCAAGCGACCCCAAAGACCCTCAAGCTGCCCTTAAAAAGAACGCGAGGTCGCATCATTTGCGCGCTTTGAACAAGTTTGAGGTGGAACATTTGCTGGAGGGTCATTTTCGTTGGCCCTATCGTACAAGCGGCTCGGTCCGGCGGGCTTCAGGTCTCGTGTTGCCTTTGGAAAGCACTTTGGACATGCTTTAACTGAGTGATTGAGTGAGTTGGTGATCGAGCAATTTGATTGATTGGGTATGTTTGGTTAATTCATCGGTTGATCGGTCGATCGATTGGATTGGTTGATTGATTGATTAATTTGATTAATTTGATTGATTGACTGACGGACTGACTGACTGACTGACTGGTTGGTTGGTTGGTTGGTTGGTCGATTGAGTTTCTGGTTTGGTTGGCTTTTGATTTATTCATTGATTGACTGACTAATTGATTCATTGAGGTGTTGATTGATCGATTCATGGCTGAAGGAGCAGGTAGCGTTTCTCGTTGCCCGGCAAATTACTGCCCATTGGCCCTCAATGGAGTTCTGGCAGACATGCAGCCTGAAGGCTTACTGCTACGAAGCTCATGGCTGTCCCGTAGCTTGAGGAGCGGCAGACTGGTCCCACTCTGCACATCAATCCACCCTTCTGGGCCTTTGCTATTAGGAGGAGTTGAGGTGTGCAAAAGAGGAACGAGACGTCCTTTTGCTTTGGTGGTGCTGCAGCACTATGCGTGTGACTTCCAGGGCAGCCATTCGGGCCCGACCACCACCTCACAAGGGGCTCTTGGTTTTGACAGATGTTAGCACACGTGACCCTTAACTCGTTAGTCTTTTTCAGCCTATTGTTTGCATTGTGCGTTGCTCTACTTGTTGGAGGCCAACTGTTTCCAGAATAGGTGTTGAAATGCATGCTGGCCGTGGCTAGCGGTTTCCTGCAGACGACTTTAACTGATATTGATCTGTTGTACAGAAAGAAACACGACCAACGTAAGTTTGAGTTGATTTATTTGTTTGATTTGATTGACTGACTGACTGACTGACTGACTGACTGACTGACTGACTCATTTATTCTTTGATTGAGTAGATGAATGGCTGGAGTGAAACTGGATAAGGAGACGCATTGATAGGTAGCGATATGATAGGCTATATGGGTAGACAGATAAATGGATCAGGCGATGCAGTTGGTTGGGTTCAGTGCAAGTACTTGGACAAATGAACGTTCAACACGTGGCAGAATACTCTTTTGAAGGGGTTGTGCCTCGGGTTTTGTTTGCCCTCCTTTTCAGTAGCATTTGCAGGGGGTCGCAAATGACAATTTCTAGTGGGGTTATCCGGGGCTCATGCTGGTGGAGTTGGACATTTACTTGGGCAAGCTCTCTTCAATGAAACACAACCCGAAAACCGAACCGACAGCTGTGGAGTTCCCAACGTAGACCTTTAGGACTTCGCAATGCCAGTTTTGCATGAGGCTGTCACAAATTGGACTGCATGTCAGGGTGTCGAAAGCAACCAACATGACCCCCAGCCAGTTGTGGGGGCCAGTTCAAGTTATTTTTTAGATGAGTTGACAACCAACCCTTGCAGGTGGCTTGATGCCTGCCGGTTTTCAAGTTTAAAACTACAGTACCTGGCTTCCAACGGGGTGGGGGGGGGGCATCATTTAGAGGATATCAACACATTTTGTCTGAAAAAGGAGGATTCCAGGTATCCAAGGACCCTTGTGCACCAACACCCTTCGACTTGCGGTCAGTATGCTAAAGTGGATGACCACGGCCCACAGTTTGGTGTTTCACATGTGAGGTTCGGTCAAGATATGCGGACACTGGACTGTGAGGGAGCGAGACACTCAATTCAAACAGAAAGGAACCAAAGGCATACGTTGATCCCGTGTTTTATGGGTATGTCCCAAACAGCCTTCCGACAACAAGCGGCCCGATCCCCTTTTGCTTTCCCTTTAAAACGATCCATGCATGCTTGACACACGTTTGGCGCATGTGTCCAAGCGCTTGAGCGGACAACATCCGCTTGGCGCGCAACGGCTGGGATGGCTGGGATCGCAGGTCGGAGCGCCTTCAACCCACTGAACGATGCCAGTCCGAGCGCTCTCTGGCACGCTTGTTGACGTGTATATGGCCGCTGTCAGTTTCTGGCGAAAGTGTTGTCGATTTGTTTGTTTGTGTGTATGAATACGGTGTATCATACGTGTACATATATGTATTTGCACATGCGTGTTTGCAGGCGCAGCGTATCTCGGGAACCCAAAGAACACCTACTACTAGTGGAGGTTCTCTGAGTTTGGCTTGGGAGCAACAGAAGTGCTACGACCAGCGTATCGGTTTTATGTCATCGGTTTTGCAGACTGGGGGGTGTCGGTTCTAGCCCCCTACCAGTGTTCGGCGGCCATATTGTCGTGCATTCATATGGGTGTTTTGCCGGGGCGCTATACCGACAAGTGGTTCCGCCTGGGTAGCCCTCATCTGGAGCCTCCCACTCGCGAAGCCACTTTTGGTTGGTGCAGAGCTTCGGCCTGCATGTGACAAGTCAAGGATCCTCTGGTGAGAACCCTGAGGGGGAAAATAGAAAGGTAGATGGCGTAGGTTCGTTTGTGTCGTCACATGGGCACAGTTTTACACGCTGATGTAGAGCATCCTCTCACTCCCCAAGTTCCACTTGAGATGGGTTGGAAAGAGGATACCCTTGACAAATATTTTGCTTGGAAGTTGCTTTCTGCGAGGAGGCAAATAGGCTGCAGATGGCCGACACTGTGGATGAAGCGGACCATGCGCTGCGTGACGCTGACGTGAACGCAGCGGTCTACCTAGTGGCTTCGAACTCCCCGCTGGTCTGGGAAAACAGGCTTGAAATACATTTGCTGGTGCTCAGAAGGGAATGAGGGAATCAGCCTGGGGATTTCCTTGAAGGAAAGCACAAGGGATGGTTTCTTGAGGTCATGGCCTCATTCCCTACTGAGCACCAGCAAGTACATTCTGGACCCGTGGAGAGCTCCCTGCTCGCCATCGTCGACTTCAACGGCCAGAGAGATAATTTGGAAGAGGGCACAGCAGATCGCATCAGTCGGTTTTGAGAACCGTTTCAACCAGGCCTTCGCAATCTGGAGCACCGTTCTAGATTCGCGCGCAGAGAAGGAGCGCAAAGCATCATGCCTTCCGATTCTTGTGGTGTCACTGGCCCTTGTTTGGTCGCGGCCGGACGGCGTCCCTCACTACACGAAACCTGTTGCCTTACATCTACCATGTTTAAGTCGTTTAAGTTCATATAATATTATGTTTGCTTTCCCCTGAAGGGTCAACAGCTAACTGAGCAGGCGTGACGGCGTGTCCTAGAATAGGGCCCCAGGAAGCACGGACAAAAAGTGCCTGAGGTTCGGTCAAAATTGCCGGCAGTCTATGATCCTTCGGGGCGGCACATGGGGGACTCACTAGATGGCTCACCAACAAATAGGGGGCTCACTCATCACTCATTTTGAAGCAAGCAATTTGGAAGGAGATGATTCCCAACAATGCCTCGGTTCAGCGTGTTGCGGGACCGCCGACCGCCCAGGCAGCAACATGAACAGCACAGAGGCTGCCAGCCCCGCGGGAGGCGGGGCCGGAGGTCCGAAAAGTGGCAAAGGGCGCAGAGTGATTTTTCTGGCCGAAGATTCTGGTTGGCCTGTAAGCCTCAGGTCTATGGGACCCGCTTGCTGGGTGAACCCTTTTTGAAATCAATCAGATGTGGCCGAGGAAGGGTTGATTCGTGGCAAGGAAGGTGCCAGTTGATTTGAAAACAAGGAGAAATGAGAGATGTGTGGACCAGTCAAGGCGGCTCGCCGGCTTAGTTGGCGGCACCAGGGAAGGACACCGGAATGGTTTCAGAGTCGCAAGGTTTGTTTCGACCCTTCGGATCACAAGTTTTGACTCCCAAAGGAGCGGGGTAAGATCGGAAGTGGGTTCTACCTCCCCAGACGGCTATGGTGACAACTCCAGCTTGATTCCTCAGTTGAATCGACCGAGTAGCTTGAGAATCATGTTGGAGTGCAACTCGTTTGGACACACACACACACACGGCGCTCAATGTGATTGAGAAGTCCCAAACGGTCTCTTTGTACTCCAGATGCATGCTTGGAGTTGGGGAGTTGGTGAAAGACACTTGCCTGCTTGCCATATCCGCAATTCGAGTTGCGTACCAGGGGGACATATTTCTGGCTGTTGAACTTGCGCCTGCTGAACCGAACGCGTTGCAGAAAGGCCCTTGATCCCCCCGGCTTGGATGCTATTGAAAAGGGGACAACAGTACAAACAATGGCCTCGTTAGACGCGGGAGTATTCTGCAACCAGTTTTGAGCTTTCATGTACTTGCACAGCCATGCCAAGCTCGACCTCCCCCCCGTTGTCTAGTTGTAGCTTAACCAACGGCATCCCGTTTGCAATAGATGACGCGAAATATTGGCCATAGCTCTTTACCAGAGCCACAATCAAGCCTGGGCACACCCTGCGATCGGAGAGGCAAAAGGTCCCAAAGGTGATCCATAGCCGGGGCAAACCACAGGTTTTAGTCCTTGTTTTCATATGCCAAGGAGGCATTTTAGGTATCATATCTTGAGAGTGAGACAGCTATCCGTTCTATTTTTGTTTAGATGCAGTCATAGTTCAGTGTTAGGTACAGATTTCCTAATCCACAAATAGCAGCTACATGCAGCTACCAAGGATACCTCTCATAAGAGGAAGAATAAGGAGTTGCTAAGCGAATGCAAGTAGCCAGGAGTTGATTCATCCCGGATTCTGACTAGGAAGATCAAGTGCTACTCTCGCACCATCCTTGCTTTCCGCTGTCAGGGCACCCCATGGCCCTCGCATACTGCCGCAGGCAGTGCGACCTTGGACCCTGCACGCACACTGGCCCCGATTCCAAGTGGAGGAGGCGTGGTCTGGTGGTTCGGCAAATAGACCGTGGCCCTTGCGCATGTATCTGATGACTTCCATTCGCTAACATGTTATTTATTTATTTGTCTGTTAGTTTTTGAGGGAACCTATCGCTACTGGATATTGTGTGGTTTGCAGGGTGCTTGAGAATATGGAGGATGGACATGCCGAAGCCGAACTTTCAGCACAAAGTGATGCAGCATTGCTAGGATGGGAAAGACACCAGGACGGCCAGCGGCGACAGTGTAACGTCATGGCGCATGGTTTGATTCCAACCTAATCTTCGCCGCGTCCCGCAACGTGAATAGGACCCTTTGGCAGCAGATGCGAGCAACAAGGGTCTCAGAGGGAAGGCAATGCTTGTCACATTGTTTCGGTTGCGCTTCCAGATAGATTTGAGGCTTACAGTACCTGGCTGGCAAGTGTTTGGTATACGCGTGCCGCAGGCAGTGCGAGCATGGACCCTGCGCGCACATTGGACCCGATTCCACTTGGAGGAGGCACGGTCCGGCTGCTGATCAAGCCAATCACAGCCCTTGCTGGCTTTTGTTTGATGCACCTGACCATTCACATTTCTCAGGTAAGAGGAGTGATGGCTGCAAACGTGATAGCGCATGGTTGGATTTCAACCTGGTTTATTGTAATTAGCGTGCATTGGACCCTTGCCAACGGACGCCAGCAACAAGGGGCTCAGAAAGAAGGCCATGCCTGATTGATCTTGCACCACTAAAATGGGGGCTTCCAACAGAACCTGGATGGCTAGCCGGCTAGCCTCCCAATCCACGTGGAACCTGACTAGGTGGGTCGATTTCCTCCGTGACAGTTCCGTTGGCACGTTCTACGTTAGACGGGAGGGTGGTTCTGCGCAGGCAGTGCAACCATGGACCCTGCACGCACCTTGGACCCGCTTCCAACTGGAGGCGCAAGACAGGGGGTCTACTGGAGGAGCCAAATCAGTGGAGCTTGGAATTGTCCACCAGGATCACTCGGCAGCTGGGATTGGGCCAAGTGTCAAAAGCCATGGACAGCATCAAATATCAACCCTTTTGCGTGTGTATGGGTCTTTTCATTGGTCTGGTGGTTGCTTGCAGGACAAGTAGGGACACCGAAGCCCATGGCTCCCTATGCTCGGAGAGCCCACTTGAGGTCCGTTACCTCCAAGATACCAGCCCGAGCATGCGGTGGCCTTTATCCCTTGTTGGGGGGGGGGGGAATTTTCCATGGCAGCAGGTTCAGCAGACCGCACTACAGAGTTGTTTTTTGTGATCCTTCCATTCATCTGCACTCCCCGGTGCTTCTTCGATCGGATTTTGGTGTGCAGCTCGCTGAGTAGCTGCGCAGATGGCCCTTCGAATTTGAGAGACGCCCTAGTTGCAAGGCTTGAAAAGCTGAGGCTGAACTGGGAGTTTGCTAGAAGTGTAAAAGGCAAAGGGGTAAACTGGGATTTGACCTCTACCTCGCGCAGGCGGCACCGTGGACTCTACCAGCATGGATCCGAGCCCAGTAGGCAGGACGTCGCAGATCGGTCAAGATGGGTGTGTCCTTTTTGCAAGGGACCCCGCCAAAAGAAACAAATGGTGGTTTCCCTGTAGGTGTTTCTTTAAAGCCCGACCAAAATTGGTCCCCATATCATCCCATATCCCATTCTGTGGATGCCAAACCCAGAGCTTTCCAGGTGCCGATCCGATTTTCCCAGCCCGGGGACTGTTGCAACGGCTTGGTTGCAAAATCAGCGACCGAAGCATTTCAGCGATGTGTAAAAGAAGGGGCCCTCTTTGACTGTTGCCCTTTCGTTCTGATGGATTCTTGACCGCAGGGATACTTGAGACCCCAAGAGCCAGGGGGTGTTGAATGTCAAGCCCCAATCGGACTCATGCATGACCATTTTTAAGAGGGAACATGCGTATCCCAAAAACCGCAAAAGAGGCCATTTAGTTGAATCACAACGCCCACACAAGGTTATATGCCCCCGTCAAACATTGGGAATCTGGGGGGAGGTGGAATTTCCACAAGGCTTGATGCCTTGTTCTTTGTGCCCGCCCCCTTCAAATGTACAAAAGTTGGGGGAGGGGAGACATCCACCTGGAAGAAGTGGAAAGCGGAGGCAACCCCCAACGGGTGATTTCCCCACGGAAGTTGTCTTTAGCTTTGGATCGGATCCGATTTGGAGTATCCCAGTCTACAGGTTTCCCCATGCTTTTCCCAGTTCTTTTGGCATTGGGAAACCCGGGGCCAGGAGAGGAAGCATCCCCGACAGGTCTGCAGCGCGACCGAATGGACGGCTGGGAAAAAGGAGAAGACACCGCGAGGTTGGTTCGAGCGATGCACGGGATGCGATGGCGGTTCGGGCTTGATTGATTTGTTGTTGTTGTTTTTGAGGGACGCCCTCCAAAGGGTGGTGTTTCTTTAGGTGCCTCTTGAAACAGCCCTAAAAAGGGTATCCACGAAAGAAGACAAACCCTTCTTACTCGTTGTGTAGGTTGAGGACCACAGAGTGGTTGAAATTTCAGGGACGACCTAAGTTGCCGAACGCGCTGCAAAACAAATCTCACTTCCTCAGAACGGCAAGGCTGAGCGGATCTGTGCGGGAAAAGGAGCAAACATTATTGCTTTGGTGCATCACCAGCCTCGCGACCAAGTAAGTTGCACGCACTCGTCGAGCTTCTTTGCTCCTGATGAACCGAGTGTCAAGTTTGAACAGCGCCAGGCGGAAGTGGCTTTCAAGCGACGTTGCCGGGCCAAGCAATGTCGCTAGCTCAGATCAGCCAGATAGTTTCTAGGCGACGTGGCCAATCAGCAGCCCAAGAATTCCTTTCCCCCGAATGGGACCCTGGATGAAAGGCAACCAAGGGAGCCAGTGGCAGCGTTTTTGCCTGGGATCCATTGGCCAGAGTTTCCCAGTGGCTCCCTCCTACAGCGTCCGCAAACGGTAGAACGGCTTTACCGTTTCCCCGAAACGGCCAAACGGGACGCCGAGAAAATGCGAAAGAAGCCTTGAGCTGACGACCCTTGGAAGGTGATAGAAGCAGAACTCCCAGCAGCTGGAGGAGGGCAAGGGGTTGGGGATGCCACCTAAACCAGCTTAGGAACTGGGGACTGCCATCCAAAGGCCATGCCAACGCATGCTAGAACACGCCCAAGCTAGCTGAATGCAAGACAGTGCCCTCTCCATGCTAAAGCCTGTGTAACAACGACAAAGCACAATGCAGAGCTGCAAGGGAGTGCCAATTTCAACCTTACCCATCAGTCTGCTTGACGCCTGTGGTACAGGCTCGCAGCATTGCCATGCGGCAGGCAGCATGTTACGCCACACCTGAAGCCCTTCCAGCTGAACAAGCCACAATGTGCTGGTCACCTGCCCGCCTGCATGCACATAGGCTTCCGGCACATGTTGCAAAGCCCTTGGCAAGTGCCTAGTCAACAGCAAAAGATGCAAGAAACTACCAACAAATGCAGGACAATGTAAGAAAATGCTGGAACATGCCCGGACATGCTAGAACACGCCAGAACAGGCAAGAAAGTGCGAGAAAATACAAGAACATACAAAGACCACACACCAGCAAATACAACGACATACTCTGAGCTTCAAAAAAATCCCACACCATGCCTCTGAAAGCCTTCTTGCCCAGAAGGCAGGAAGGAAGCGTTTTCTATGAATTGGCAAGCTTCTTTGTTAGCCAATGCCAACATCTCTGTCAAGGACCACCTGTGGATTTGAACTATCTATGGGCTTTTTGCACCCTGCTCTCGGCACATTGCGGGGGCCGAAATGTACTGTTTGTGCATTGTCCAGCAATATTGCCAAAACCGTGTTCTTGCATATGAGAAGCATCCCTTGTGAAGAGTGTCCCTGTTCTTTGAGAAAAAGGCAAAGGGACTCTAAAACGTGACCCAACCCCAAGGGTGGAATGGTTTGGTGTTGTAAAGGCCCAGCAAAGTTCTAGCCCGATCGCCTTTGTCTCAGGCCACACCCGCCTCGCCGAGCTCGAATGCCGATCTAGGCCGGCAAGCAAGAGGAGTGGCTGAAGCCCACGAAATGGGCAATCTGGGAAGATCCTTGGAATTGGGTCAAAACTAAAGCAGGGGCCGCAGGTGTTCCTCCTTGGTTCCATTTACCTGGACTCCATTTTGGGTACCTATTTTTGACCCACAGCCAAATGGACATAAATCCCCCTGTGTGGCATCCTGACGGAGCGTGTGGCTTGAGGCTGAGGCCTGCTCCCCCTGCAAGCTTGCAAGCTGGCAGGTGGCTCAGACGTGGGTTACTCCGCTGACTGGGACGAGGCCCCGATTTTTTCTTTTTCGCGCGGTGCCGGCCGGTCGCGGAACGTTGCGATCCATACGCCGGACTTTGTGGGGTCCCAGGAAAAACAAGTACACCATGTTTTTTTCGGCTATTTGTTTGGTTGGATCTTTGGACTTCAACATCTTGGGAAACAGTGGAATTTCCGGGTACACAGCAACCAAGATGTGGATGCTTACAACATCCACGCCGATCGGCAAGCTGGTTGACCCGTTCTTTGAGTTGCAATTTTGGGGAAACACGCACGCATTGAACAGTTTGAACAGACCCAAGCTGAGGATCCACCACACATGTTGGTGATGTCCACCAAAGGGTCCCAACAGTCCCACAGTAAGCCGTTCTATCACAATATGATCCCTACTCCGGGCTCTTCGCAACCCAACCTGGTGTTCATGTTGTTTTTGCCCAGCCCCGAGCATGATGTTTGACCTCCATGTTATCTTTTGCTTTACGGTTCCAAGACACGGGTCGACGGGGCAGGGTTCAACAAAAATTGGCAAACTGACGGGGGGCTCAGAAGCTCTAAGAAACCAGCAGGAAATTCTACCGGAATCCCTTGGTTCTGGTGGGTGGACTGGAATTCTGCAGAACTCTTTGCGGATTTCTATGAGGCTTCAGGGGCCCAACCTCTCCTCAACGGGGCGACCGGGTACTTAGTGGTTAGTTCGCCAACCCACTTGCCATGGTTGTAAGTCTCCTAACTGGTTATATCCCCTCTCCCACGAACATGGCACCTGACAGGGGCTCCCTCTAAGAGCAAACAGATCTTCCCGGTGCCTCCCCGGTGCCATGTTAGTAAGAGGAAGGGTAATCAAGCTTACTAGCTACTGACGTGCCGAATCGATCGCCCCTTCAGTCGAAGCCGGCATCGCCTCGCCAGTTCTCGATGTCCGGCTCTTCCATGTCCCGCTCCGACTCGCCAAAGTCGCAGAGTCCCAGCGCAGGCGGCCGATATCGAAAAAGCCGCGAATTCGGAGCCAGGGGCAAGAGGGAAGTGGTTCAAGGCGTCTCTCTGTGTCCCACTGTGTGTGTGTGTGTGGTTGCATTTGTCTGTCTTTCCTTGGATGTATTTATTGATTGTTTTCTTCATTTATTGATGTTTACTGTTGAATTTATGTATTTATGTATTTATTGTTTGGTCTTTATTTGTGTCTGTCTTTCTTGTCGTCCTCCTTTTTTTCCTGTTTTTGCTCAGTTACTTTTTTCTTTTTAAGTTCTTCCTTTATTTATTTATTTATTTATTTGTTATTATGTGTTGTTGTTTTTATTTATGTCCTTCTTTCTATATTTCGTCACTTCTTTCTTACTGTCATTGCTTCTGGTTGTTTTTTTCTTTATGTCCTTATTTATTTCTTTCATCATTTCTTTCGCTCTGTCTTCCTTTCTTATTTCATGTCTTTATTTCTTTCTCTCTGTCTCTCTTTCTTTATATATTTCTTTATGTCTTTCTTTGTTTCTTTCTTTCTTTCTTTCTTCATTTCTTTTCGTTCTGTCTGTCTTTCTTTCTTTCTTTCTTTCTTTCTTTCTTTCTTTCTTTCTTTCTTTCTTTCTTTCTTTCTTTCTTTCTTTCTCTCTCTCTTTGTTTCTGTCTTTCTTTATTTCTTGCTCTCTCTCTCTCTCTCTCTTTTCTTTCTTTCTGTCTTTCTGTCTTTCTGTCTTTCTGTCTTTCTTTCTTTCTTTCTGTCTGTCTGTCTTTCTTTCTTTCTGTCTTTCTGTCTTTCTGTCTTTCTGTCTTTCTGTCTTTCTGTCGTTCTGTATTTTTGTATTTTTGTCTTTCTGTCTTTTCTTTTTTTCTTTATTTCTTTTTTCTGTTTTTCTTTTCTCTCTCTCTCTCTTTATTTATCTCTTTCTCTCTTTCTCTCTTTCTCTCTTTTCTTTCTTTCTTTCTTTCTTTCTTTCTTGCTGTCTTGTTTTTTTTGTTTCTTTCTTTCTTTCTGTCTTTCTTTCTTTCTTTCTTTTCTTTCTTTCTTTCTTTCTTTCTTGCTTTCTTTCTTTCTTTCTTTGTTTCGTTGTTTTTTCTTTCTTTCTTTTTGTGGTTCTTTTTTGTTTTTGAGGTTCTTTCTGATTCATTCGAGAGCTATTCTTAGCCAGGTACAAGCGTCGATTTAGCCATGCGCATGCTGTTCTGCAATCCTTCTAGCCATTGACGTTTTAGATTGTTAACCCGCTACAAACAAGCATTTTACGCCATGCATAAACGTGGGACGGTTGGGCCGTGCGGAGGTTTGGGACGTCAATTCTTTTGAACCTGCAGATTCGGTGTTCTGCCCAAGGAGAACAGAGGATGCATCAACTGAGATCCATCACTTTGGGGAACGGAGCCATCGAAGTCGAATGGTGTGGTGTGCTACAATTCCAACTTGAGTCAAGACGCTGTCGATCAATTGCTTCTCATGGTTGGCTGTCAGCACATGTCATGGGAAGAACTGCGCTGGTGCAGCTACGTTGTTCTGGCAATGGGCGCTGTTCTTTTGGGGCCTAGCCAGAAGTCTGAGTGGGCTGCGGTTCAGCGGGACGCAAAAGTGGCGCTGCTCACCTGGAGTGTTGCGAGGGACGGTTGAAAGGGCCAAGCCTCAGCATGTTTTTGGGGTTTGGTAGAACCAAAAGTGCCTGGGTTTGGGTTGGGAGCTGCGTGAAGGGATGGTTGAAAGGGCGAGCTTCAGTCCGGGTGACCAGTTCCTTTTTAAGACGCCTTTTCTGGACAGAGCGCCTGCCCACTTTGTATTTTTTGGCAGTGGCCCCTACTGAACATGATTGCTGGCAGCTGCGCGCGGCTCAGCAAGAAAGGTGCATCAAGCTAAGAGCACTTGTGTTCGCTGCTAGGTATTTGGAGTTTGTTCGCAGCTAAGAAACTGTTGGGCATGTATTCCTGCAGCTGTATTTGATTGTTTGTTATCTCTGTCTCTCTCTCTCTCTCTTTGTCATTCTTTCTGTTTTTCTTTCTTTATTTCCTTCTTTGTTTATTTGTTTGTTTGTTTATTTGTTTATTTTAATATTTATCTCTTTCGTTTTTTTCTTCTGTCTTTCTTTCTTGCTGTCTTGTTTTTTTTTGTTTCTTTCTTTCTGTCTTTCTTTCTTTCTTTCTTTTCTTTCTTTCTTTCTTTCTTTCTTTCTTGCTTTCTTTCTTTCTTTCTTTGTTTCGTTGTTTTTTCTTTCTTTCTTTTTGTGGTTCTTTTTTGTTTTTGAGGTTCTTTCTGATTCATTCGAGAGCTATTCTTAGCCAGGTACAAGCGTCGATTTAGCCATGCGCATGCTGTTCTGCAATCCTTCTAGCCATTGACGTTTTAGATTGTTAACCCGTTACAAACAAGCATTTTACGCCATGCATAAACGTGGGACGGTTGGGCCGTGCGGAGGTTTGGGACATCAATTCTTTTGAACCTGCAGATTCGGTGTTCGGCCCAAGGGGAACAGAGGATGCATCAACTGAGATCCATCACTTTGGGGAACGGAGCCATCGAAGTCGAATGGTGTGTTCTCTCTCTCTCTATCTCTCTCTCTTTGTCTTTCTTTCTGTTTTTGTCTTTGCTTTTTTACTTATTTATTTCTTTCTTTGTTTCTTTGTTTACTTGTTTGATTGTTTATTTGTTTCTTTTAAAATTTATCTCTTTCTTTCTTTCTTTCTTTGTTTGTTTATTTGTTTCTTTTAATATTTATTTCTTTCTTTTTTTCTTTCTGTCTTTCTTTCTTGCTGTCTTTCTTTCTTTTTTTTCTTTCTTTGTTTTTTCTTTCTTTCTTTCCTTCTTTCTTTTTCTCTCCCTATTTGTGTTTGTGTCTCTGTTTGAGTGTCTGTATAGCTGTGTGTTGCGTGAGTGGGTAGCTGGCTCATCTGTTGCGTGCTATATATTGTATACAAAAATATATGTACATTGCCTTTGTGTATGTGTGCTTGCTTGAACCCATTAATGTAGTTGAGCCTCCGGTAGGCTGTTTTTCTTAATGACCTTCTTTGGGCTATTTGTTTTGGGCCCGGTTTGACAGCCATGGAAAAACGGATGGTGCCTCCAGCCCTTTTTCCCTGTTTCTTTGTTGGGTGGTTCCCCTTTTTGTTTCGTTCTTTACCTTTGACTAAACGTGGTCAACTTTTTGCTTGGGCGGTCAACCATTTTTGGGGTTCCCCACGCTTCGTCAACCCCAAAGACAGGTTCCCTTGTTCTACCAGCAAGATGTTCCCTCTGAGTCTACAGGCGCAAGGCGGCCGAGACGAGAGAGGACAGGGTCGAAGTCCCGGAATGGACGACGTCCACTGCGCACTTGGGACGGATGACACCTTTTGAATACTTGGACAAACCATCTACCGACTGGTGCGGCATTTGGTACATCCAAGAATAATAGCACCCCTCTACCAGTTCCCCCATTGTTAAAGGTTGGAACGAGAGGGTGCCCACTATACCAGTACCAGGAAACCGGAACCCCCATATGATAAGTACTCAAATTTGGAAGGCCTTCCATTGATATCACCGAAGTGGTTGCGATTCCCACATGCATGCCCAGGAACATCTCTAGGGGAGGAACCAAGCCACTTGTTTGTTCGGCCCATGTCCTGTTCCTAGAGTTGCTTCCTTAGAGAATGGAACACCCTCAAAAACAGGCAATATTTGCTCCCGTTGCTATGGCTCTGAATCAGTATATTGATCGTATTGTTGCCCTCGGTGCAACCTCGAATGCATTTCCGATGTGCCTTTGGGCAACCCTAAGTCTGACTCAGAAATCAACAAGTATTTGATTGCACATGTATTAACAAAAAAGGGTTGTTGCCAAGCACGTTTACTAGCGAACCGGGCGCACGAATTCCCTCGCTCAAGTTGCCTTCCTCAGTTTCCAGAAGCAACTTGCCTGCGGAAGGCCCGCAGAAGCACCTTTATGAACTTATACAGAAACATGTAACATGCTCGCGGTTTGATACGTCAATGCAAATTTAAAAGGGAATAAACACCTGGCTTCTGGATCATACATGTTATATATATATACACACCTGCTTATAGGGCGAGAGAGAGAGAGAGAAAGCTGTGTTCATACATACACGCGGTATGTATATACGTGGGCTGCCAATGTTCAGGTGGACACATAAGAACACCTGTGCATGCAGAGTTTGGCGAGAACATGGTTTCCGTATGAGGGTTCAAGAGGTGTAGGTCGTGCCCCCCTTTTTGGGACCTCTGGTTGCTTTCTTGTTATGCCCAAACTCCGTCCCGACAGGACCTCCAAACGGGGGCTATGGGGAGAGGGCGACCCCGGCGTAAGCCTGAGCATATTGTAATAGCACCATCCTCATGGGCCATTCGTGGGAGGTCCATGAAATGCACACAGTACCTGCAGGAACAATGGTAACCTCTCCAGCCTGAACGAAAGTGGCGGCTTTTAGCAGTCTCACCCAGGGTCCTTTCAAGACCTTGGACGAAAATGCCATGCACCCCCGTTTCATCCAACTTAAACAGCACTGTTTGGAGCAACGGTTGAGCTTCCTCTTGGTGGGGTGATGTTTAAGAGGGAGCTATTGGGAGCCCTGCATTTCGCTTCATACTGACTCAGAGCCATAGCAAGGGCAGCCATTGCAACCTAATAGGGACTTTCTTTGACTATTGGGCAGTCACTTAAGACCATTGGCCATACCCCACCCCCATGGCTCCCGTTGCTATGGCTCTAAGTTCAGTATTGGATTGCGCGAGGGTCTCCTCGAACTCCCAAGGGGTTCGAAAAGAAAGGACTCGGGTTTCACCTCAGGAAGCGAACACCCGGGCGCTCCATGTATCCTTTGAAGCGCTGGTTCTTGAAAAATGCGCAAGCCACTGTGAGTGCATCTTCTTGTTGATATCCCGTCTTTCCAGGAGCGCAAACCTCAGATTAGACAGGTTCCAGGGGAGAAGGTCTGCGGGATGTTCGCAAGTGATGATTCCCCATACCCAGGACCACCCCCTCGTTCCATTACCCTGTTGAATTTTCAGAAATCCAACAAGCGTGTCCCACCGCCAGCAGCGCATGTGTCACTGTGGGCCGCGCGGTTCGGCCCAGGGAGTTTTGGTTTGTAGCCCATGTTAAATTGACCCAAAGGAAAACCCAATGGACATGCTTAGTGTGTGTGTGTGTGTGTGTTAAAAAACACAGAAAGAACACAAAAAAACAAGCACTTTAAGCACTTTTGCAGACTCCCTATTTAGCACCCAGCTGAGTGCTTGGATATGTTGCACTTTTGCGAAAACTGTCTCAGAGGCAAACAAACAGCTTGGCGTTCTTTTGGCCAATACACTCAAGCGAGTAAGGCTGGTAGATAACTCGTGATTCCAAAAATCAATTGGTTTGGGTTCCCCATTGAAGTGTTTGCTGCTGAACTAGCAAAACATACCGGTGCTGTGGCCAGAGGTTTCACATCGCGGCTTCAAGTACTCGGTGTCAGATGGCGTGTAAGTTTACGATGTGCCGGAACACGTGCATCGCAAAACGTCTGATGCTTGCGGCCGATGTCACCAACCACGTTGCTTTCAGCCAGATACAACGTTGGGGGTTGATGCTCTAGACTGCAGCGTAAATCATGCCAACTTCAGCCAAGCCTCCAAGCAGATGCTGGGGTTTCTGTTTGGAGTTCGTACCCTTTCCAATATGGTCTGAAAGGGAAACAAAGGGAAGAGAAACACGATATTGGGCTTTCCCTGTTCTAAGACCCACCCATGCCTTATGTGGACCTTTGCTTGCCAGATGTTCGTCCTCAAGACCTGTCCCACTTGCGGGCCCGCATGGCAGTTTTCGCCGCGATGCAGCTATGGTCGCGTGTGAGCAACTGCACATAGAGATTTGTTCCCACCGAGGACGGGGCTCGATGCGGGGTAGTTTTAAAGGAAGGTGTTGCTGGATCGGAGACTTTCAGAGAAGCCCAATGTGCGACACTTACGCTTCCTCTCGGCCTTTCGGTGCGCTTTTTCTCCTTGGGCGAGTGGAACTCTATTTTCCACCCTGTTGCAGGTTAGTGTGAGCCCTGGCGAAAAGGCCAAGGCCCTGCTTGGGGGAGATGTCTTTAGGCGGCCAGGATCCCTGAGTATTTGTGCTTGCGCTGTCCGACGTTTAAGAAGGTAGCCCTAGATTCCATCCTTCCTCAGAATCTCTCGAAAAGATGATGAGAGCATGAAAATGGGTTACTGGAAAGACGTTTGGTTTTGCTTCCAGGGAAATGGGTGTTCCAGATTGCAACTGTTTGTACCGAGTCGCCCAGTGACAAATTAGTCATGTCGGTTTCACTTCACCTGTTTGCCTGGTGCTTATCGGGGCTCCATGATTGAGTGCACAGGACCCCATCTCAAAAGGACAGTCGTTCAGGGCGGTTCAATCCACCAACCGGTGGTTCAGTGACTGAGCCAAGCCAGACAGGAGCGCTGAGTCAAGATGACTCGCCAAAGCTGCTCACCTCAGAAGGGCTGAATGATCTCCTGGGCGCTGGCTTTCGATGTGAAGCTTGGATGGGTCGAAGGAGTTCTGGAGGTCTCCAAAATGGTTTTAGGCTTTTTGGGTTGCCGAAGTGAACATGATCTGAACATGTCATGTTTGGTGTAACCTGGGCTGGGACCAACTTTTGAAAGAAGGGCAAACACCAGGAAAAACCCGTGATGGGGTCTCGTTAAGTACCCAGAGGATTCCTGTTTTCCAGTTGATGAATATGACAATTTGCCCATGGCCGAAAATGGGCGTGTCTTAAAATGATGGAGCCTTTTGGTGCAATGTGCCGCGCAGATGCGGGAGTCTTTTGGACCCTTGCTGAGGGTCAAACCAATTGGGATAACCATTTGAGCCAGCTTAGTTGGGCACATTCCTCTTGCCATAAGTAAGTGCGGCTCAAGCTGCCCTGTGTTTGTTTATTGTGGGTTTTGGGTAGACAGCTTTAATTCCTTGTTTTGTTTTTTCTCGATGGCTCCAGGAGTTGCCAAGTGGTTGGCAGGCCCAAGATAACCCCCAGTGTGCCCTGCAAGTAGCATCTTCATGCCCCCATGTCCCCCCATGTCCCCCCATGTCCCCCCATGTCCCCCCATGTCCCCCCATGTCCCCCCATGTCCCCCCTTGTCCCCCCATGTCCCCCCATGTCCCCCCTTGTCCCCCCCTTGTCCCCCCCTTGTCCCCCCCTTGTCCCCCCCTTGTCCCCCCCTTGTCCCCCCCTTGTCCCCCCCTTGTCCACTGTATGTTCCCCTATGTTCCACTCTGTTTTCGTGTTCCCCTAGGTGCCCCGATGGTCACCTATCCCGCCATCATGGAATTTCCTCATGCGAGGCAGATCTGGACTTGACGAGGGAGAAGGAGAGTTGGATCATCGGCCATCCCGGGGACCTGTCGACGCTGAAAAGCCTCGGGCGGGATCTTAGTGAGGCCAGGGTAGCACGGTGGTTGCGAAAAAACGGGAGAGGGGGGGGGGGTTGACCACTCCCTCCGAAGGGGGGCGTTGTTCAAGAGGAATTCATCATCCAGGTACCTTACCACAGCTTTGGTCGAACATGTTATTTTTATTTTTTGCGAGCTGACATTCTAGTCTGGAAGCGCTGCGGGTTGTAGGACCAAACAGAGCTTCTTAGGCGGGGTGGTTTGTTGTGAACTGAGCTTTGCCTTCGCTCGAAATCAAAAGGGGCGTTTTGATTCCGAGCAAAGGCAAAGCTCACCATTCAAGCTTTTCACATTCATCAAAGCAGGACCACTAGTCAGGGCTGCCTCCCCTTTCGGAAATGAGCAAGACACATGTTGGAGGGTTCCTCGGAAGCATCCTCCTGCATGTCGAGATTGGTTGGACATCAATCCTCGTGCAAATGATGCTGAAAACACCCACTTCCAATCAAAGAGTTCATCTCATGATGGCCCCCCGAAGTTGGCCCCACCCTTTGCAAGGCAATTTTCTTGGACGGATGCCATCGCCTAAGGACTGGCCCACACGGAAAACACCAGAAGGTCCCAAGAGGAACATGTTCTTCTGAGGGCCTTCTTTCGGGTACAAACTCGAAAATTGAACCGCACAATGATGTTTGTGTCGAAATCGGGGAATCGTGTCCCTTTCGACCAACCGAAACATGACTTCTGTTGTTAAAAAAAAAGAAGTTATATGTTCTAAGCTGGTATAATAGGCCGGCCGGTATATACATTCATGTTACTCCACTTGACATCCTGCAAAACATGGCTGGTGGACTTAAATGCCCATGTGAATGTTGTTTAAAGCGTCTATGCTGAATGAAGGTTCTCGTATTTGAGGATGTTGTTTGTGTTAGTTGCTTTGGGGAGAACACCCTCAATTTCCGACAAATGTCCAACAAAACCCCGGGGCCCATTTGTCCCCTGTCCTTTTAGCTGGGTCAACCTCTCCGGCCATTTTTCATCTTCGTCCTTGACCAAAATCAGAAACACCAGTCCTTTCAGGTTTAGCGCTGAACGTTGACAAGTTCCGGAAAGCGTTTGTGATTTTCTCCCGGGTTTTGGGTCAAAGCATTGGTTGTTTGACTTTGAGCCCTTGGGTCATCTCGGGGCACACCGAAATTTCCATCTTTCTTTAGGCCCTGGGCTTTCCACAGCTCCTGCAGACCTGGCAGCACCAAAACCGCAGGCGCCTCGCATGGAAGGACACCTGACTTCTTGGAGGGCTTCACTTTTGTCATTACCCCCCCATGGGTCGATGCTTCCGTGTTTGAATGGTCGAGGTAGACTGCAACCTCCGAACGCCCATGCAGAACTTTGGACACCGAAGCCCATTTGCGTGGCAGCTCCATTGCGGTGTAACGCGCCGATGGTGCCCGCGATGCTTTGAAGTCGTGTTGTGTGGGGTTCATGTATGTTTGTCTTCGGTTCTACTTCCCAAAGGAGGAAGAGGGTTCCATGTGCGAAAGCCCAGCTGGTGCACAACTTTGGTGGAAACCAAGCCCATTTGGAGGGTTCCATTTGCGAAGCCATTCAGCCTGACGCGGAAGAAGCGCAGTGAGGCTCCTTGCGCTGGAGCTGAAGGCTGAGCCCGTCACTGCCACGGAGCTGGAAGAGTTGTTGGAGCAGTTGACGGCCCAAAGGCACATCCGGCGGCGGCTTCTTACGGGGGGACTGGGGGGAAGAACTATAAAAAGAGGAGGCCCCGGGACTGTTATGTTGTTTTTGTTGTTCTCAAACCTGTTGACCCCCGTATTCGTTTTGAAAAGAGGGATTTTGGGGGAGCTGTTTCATCGTTTTGTTCGAGGTTGTTGGGGAGCGGTTTGTTATTGGTTTGAACGAGGTAACCCGTTGGCCTAGAAGACTACTTCTCACGCATGTTGCTTGCAATTAGGCCGTCTACTAGTAGCTTTTGCTCAAGGGAGTCGATATCCTTGCTCACGCCTGTTGACTCATCCGCATCTGCTCACTCTGTACAGCCAGCTGCTTCTCCAAGCTAACCATCTGCTTCTCCACGCTGTCCCTGTTGCTTTCAATAAGTTTCTCAAGGAAAGCCTCCTTGAGGGAGGCCTCTTGCTTCTCTGTGCTCTCCTTGAGGCAGGCCACGACAAACGGCACTGAGGCCGTGGCTACGGTCGCCACAATACCGAGCACCATTCTCATGTGAACTGTAGCCGGGAATGTCTCAGTCGCAGTGTATTGGGGAAGGGGGTGGTGCGTTTGGCATCCTCCTTCGAAAACGTTTTTGTTTGGGATTGGGGGGAGGGAGGGGCGCATTGATGTTTGCCAGGTCAACTCATTTTTTTGGAGTTGGCACCTTTTGCAGAGCTGACTGCTGAGGAAATCTAGTATTAGTTGTGTGAGGGTAGCCTTTTCAGTGATGTTTGCAAGGGAAACCAAAGGGAACCCACCCGTTTTTTTTTGGGGGGGGTCCATCATTCAGAGACAAACCCATGAGTGAAATCTTGTTCAAATCCACAAAGGAGTTCCAACTCGCTTGGACATTGCTTGCCAGAGTAGTCCGGCAAGGTACGGCGGATTCCTTAAATATTGCAAGGTACATTCAGAGTTTCCCTTGCTTCGATGCTACATGATGGGAACCACTGGGAACCAAGCAGTGCTATTTGGTATCTCTTTGCGACATTTCTGAGCAAACAATGAACCTCAAGAATACAAACGCGCTGTGGTTTGCAACCAATTTCACCCATGATGAATGTGCTCTTTTTTGGGGATCCTGGTTCTAGGTTGGTGAACTGTTGCAATCCACAGACATTGAATTAATGATTAAGTGTCCATGGCTCATTGTGCACCTTAAAATTTCAAAATATAATTACAGACAGGTAATTTGATTGGGGTACCAAAAGGGGGGGACCCTCTAACAATCAAAGCATTCGGCGGCCAAGTGACTGCAGGCTGCCCAATGGCAGCGTTGGCGTGTGGTACTTGCCGCAGGCCGCAAGCCAGAAGCCCCGAACCTGGTTGCCTTTGTTTGCTTCCAAATGTGTTTGCAGTTCTCCTAATGGAGTTTTGCTGGGTTTACAACCCTAAGCAGAGGTGGGCAAGTAAAGCTTGGTGAGGCTATGTGCAATGTTGGTTCCAGAAAAGGGGGTCAAGGAAAACTGCCATAGAGTTCTACCATACATGTTCGAGCCCGGAACGTGGGTAATGACAATTGAACGAAGCTATGGAAGTGGGGAGGGGGCCCCGTGCATCTTTCTCAGCCCTCTGTAAACTCACTTTCGAAACAAGGAGTCGGTAATTTCGTTGCCGCCGTGTCGGGGCCGCCCGAACGAGAGACATGACCATTGTTGTTGAAACCACCGGGCAGATGTGAAAAGCACCCGCCGAGACAGGAACTGCAAGATCTTGATTGAACGTTCGCATGACCCTATTCGCGCCTTCCAACCAATTCCAAGGATCCTGCTTTCCAGAAACCACAAACCAGGGACTCAACGGCAAGCTTTTGAAAAGAATGGTTCAAAAGAACGGGGGGATGTGTCCCTAGACAAACCTTGCGAGGACCTGAACACCAAACGCCATCGTGCAACTGAGCTTTACCCGTTGAAAGGCTTCAGCTGGCTTCCGAAACGAAGCAACATTTGGTTCCGACGCTTCTTTGAGATTCCCAAGATTGCTTTTGTACAAATAATTTCAAGCCAGCCTTTCGGAAATGTTTGATACCTTTCCACCCAACATGAATCCATCCTGGAGGCCTGAAGAGATGCTGGATTGACCGAATTCACCAGTTGCCGTGGAATTTCCATCCACTTGACTTGAAGCTTGGGATCGATTCCGAGCACTTCAGCTCCGGTCCCACTGCTTTGTTTCCTAAGCGTTGTGATGGGTTTGGGGCCCCAAGCGGCCCTTTTGAGACCTCCACTTGCGCAAGTTGGGTGTGGTATTCTGGTCCGGGCTCTTCACAACTTGACTAAAATGACGAAGGTCCCAGGAGAAAATCCACTCGAGTCAGGAGCTGGGGCTCTTTGAGCAGGTGCACAGAGATCGGTACCCGGGCCTGCTGGGCATCATGGCGCCTCTTCAAGAAACCTCCAGGCTCATGAGTGTGGAGAAACTGTCAGGGGAACCACACACTTTTTTGTGTTTTTATGGTTGTAGAAATGTTGGTTTTGGGTTGCTACTTTCTGTGAGTGGCCAAGGAACCCCCATAGTGGTATCACGATGTATCACGGAAATACAGCCATGGAAGGGTTGCTCGATTTGAGACGGTCCTTTATTGATGGCCGAAGACTGTTTGGCTGCTCCCCTATGCCCTTTGTTAAACCTTGTTTGGTCGGATCTGTTTGAAATGATGGTGGATTGTGGGTTTCCTCAACTGTGCCAGAATCAAAGGCGTTATGGCTGGGGGGGGGGAACGGAGGGCATGGGACACAGAATGAGTCCCCTGGTTTTGTTTGTGGGCAATTGGGTGTGAGTCCCTCCATGTGCTACCAGTACTTTTGACCGAACCTCATTGGAAAGCCCCTTTTTTGCTGCCTTGACAACTATGTTCCAAATGATTTGGGCAAGGCTCACTTCGTGGCATCTGACCTGAGGCCATGTTTGATCGCCCCTGGCGTGGCGCGGATGTTGGATCCAAGGAGAGCTTGGATGCAGCAGCACGCGCTGGCATTCAGGTGTGCCCTGGCAAGCGCACCAGATTGATATGTTACATTGGTATTTGCCAAAGGGGGGTGGCACCCAAAAGGGAAGTTTCCTTTCGACTGCTAACAACAGCAACCAAGAAGAGTATATCCAGAACACAACGCGCTCACCATGATGTTCATAAGGTTTGTGGGTAAGCGATGCGTCATGACGTTATAAGATCTCGAGCCGGAGTGCGACGCGTGCCCGAGCGCCGCCCTGGTTTCTGACCTGCCACAACCGTTGTCTATGGGCTCAAAGATGACCACCCATGCTGGAGGCTTCCTTGTTTGGAAGACACACGTAATTAGAGAGTAGTCTGTATTAGGCACAGATATCCGCCTGTTTCATGCTTTACCCAGGTTTCGATAGACTCCTTTTGATTCCCAGGCGTTGATTATGAGTCTGAGATTCTATACATATCCTTGTTCACGCAAATCATTTGTCAAGCTCCTCCCAAAAAAACACGTACTTGCCCGTCAGACACACAACAAAGAAACATGTATCTTTGTCCATATATATATATGTCAATGTATATACATACATTGTATATGTGATTATGTGTGCATACGAGTTGGCCCCTCTTTGATCAAGAACATCCCGCCGGACCGATAATCCGCGCGACAAAATTGGATGTCACCGCGCTCATGGTGCTGCCAAACGGCGCGGCACTCGGGTTTTTCACTTGCCACAATGCGGCCCCGTCAAAATAATAGCGACCTGACATGCTGCTGCCACAATTGCCACAATAATTGCCACAATGCTGCTGACCTGACATGCTCAAGCTACGGTGGTCTTGCGCGGGTGCCACTAAAACACACACACACACAGACACACACACACACACACACACCCACCCACCCACCCACCCACCCACCCACCCACCCACCCACCCACCCACCCACCCACCCACGCACGCACGCACGCACGCACGCACGCACGCACGCACGCACGCACGCACCCACACACACACACACACACACACACAGAGGCGCACACGCGCGCACGCACACACGCACACGCGCGCACACACACACACAGACAAACAGCCATAGCCGAGACAATGGGCCGTCGACATTTTCCGGGCGTGCAGTCAGGCGTGCGACGGAGAGCGTGGACTGCCAGGCATGTGCCCGGGCGTACCACAGAGAGTGTGGGCGGGTGTGCTTACAATGTGGTGCTCGGGCGTACAGCGTGCGCGCGCAGGCATGCATGCAGTGCAAAAACCCACGTTTTGTGGCTTGGTAAAAAGTCCTTTTGCTTAATCATCCCGGCTGCAAGTTCACCAGGTCTATGGATCGACCAGGTTTCATCAAGAGCCATTTAGAGATGGAAATCCATGTGCTTGGTGGGCAAACGAAAAGAACCATGCGCCACGCTGGTTTTTGAAGCCGTAAACATCAACAAACATGCAGCAGGCATGAGAGGCATCTTTCCCAGCTTGCACATGCCCAGACACATGGAACCAGGGGTTGGTGGTGGATGTCGGTCGCCCACTATCGCTGGCTCATGCCGTCGCCAGCTATGCTTGTAATGCTGGCTATGCATATTGCGCAAGTGCAGCCAGCATCACCTGAATTACCTGCATTAGCAGGATGGTTTGCCATGCTTTGCCGGGGGTCATTGGCTGAAGCAGATCGGGAACAAGATTTTTCTTTCAGCCGAGCCAAAAATGAAGAGATTGCACTCCCCACACGCAGCCCTAAACCTATACACCTCTAGCCTTTTGGTGTCTTTTTCGCACTTGGGAGAAATTGGACTCGGAACTCCTCGGATGCGAGGTTGGGCATGTCCATCCGCCTTTCTTCGGAACTCCTGAGCGAGGCAAGTCGCCGGAAGTTCCTGGTGGTTGCCTTCGGCGTCAACTCGGAGGATCGAGGGATGCGATCGAACCGGAGGGCGACGTTTTTTTGATGGGATTGGCTCAAAATGGCAACCCTAGACACGGGTGCACACACCCAAATTCACATGGGCGTGTGTCGGTCAAGTACAGGCAAGTCGCGGTACAACCCCAATCCTGTAGTTGCAGTGACAGGGTGGATAATCGCGGTTGTTCTTCGGGTAACCTTTTGTTGGTGGTCTGAATTGGTGCTTTGGGGGTTTGCACCCTGGTTCTTGTTTCTTGAGCAAATCGGAAGCCACCATAAGCCCCAGAACTCCTGCTGCAAACCCTTTCCGGCACATCCCAGTTAATTATGGATTTACCACGGGGTTGCCTTAGGAAGACTTGCTGAAAGCTGCGCAGAGCAACGTGCACTTGGCTCTCTCAGATAATCCCCTGGAGATTCGCAGCAAGCTTGCGCAGCTGAAATCGCCCCGCGGCAAGCAGGAGGCCCAGGTAGGTTATGCCCATCCTGCCTTGGCCGTGGCTGTTTTGGGGCGGGGTGGGGGGGGAATGAAAAAACACCAACCTGAGACTTGCGCTTGACCAATTGCCTTCAGCTAAGCCACCAAAACGTGAACATGGGTTTGCTGAAGTTTGTGGATGAATTTCAATTTATCTTTTGTTCCTCATACAAAAGGTAGTAGAAAAAGGATCCCTTTAAACATCCTGTGCGGCATTCTCTTGGTTTCCCGAATTGCTTTAAGGAGCTCTCACTGTGACCCTCCATGGATATCGTGGATATGGCTGGCCGCACTGGTAGCTTTGACACTGTGCTTCCGGAACATTCTTGGTCGCCACTGGATCCTGCCGGCACAGAAAAAGGAATTTGATTTCGATATATCAAAATATCAAATATCTAAATTAGTAATTGAGTTAATATATTAATTATAAAATATAAAAATCCAAAATATTATAATTTAATATATATATATATATGTATGTGTTGTAAATATATATAAATATAATTTTAGTTATAGGATGGACGGTTGGTTTGATATTATATATTCATATATTTTATAAATTAAATAATTTATATAATATATACTAATATATATTTATTTTATAAAATGAAAATATGAAATGTGTTCGTCGCATTTGTACGCATTTTTTTTTCGGATTGTTTTTCTGAACAATTCCGGATATTTCGGAAAATTGGGTTGGATTGTGTTTGGAATTAGTTTATATAGTTTATGGATTTTATTTTTTTTTGGTTATACCGGAAGACATAATAATTTTTATAGGAATTAATTTTTGAATATTTCGAAATATTTGGGAAATATTATCGTCGAAATATTCGGAATGTTTTAGAAAAATAATTTGAAATTTGGAGTGTAATTATCTTTGGGAAAATGGTCCGGGCTTTGAACGAAGCCGTTGTGTTTTCGAGATAAAGAATCGGGGTATATATTTGTCTATCTATAGTTATTTTGGCTTTGCGTTTTTCGAGAGTTTCGTTTTTTTTTACACTTAGGATGTGTTTTGTCGATCATGTTTTCGTTTGCGCTTGCAATACCTATGTATGTGGATGGATCTTTTGAGATTAATAGTTCATGGATCTGTTTTTATTTTGCTCAGGCGACTGCCTTTCATTGATTCTTTGGCGTGAGTTTATCGTGATTAGCCCGGTCCTTAGGTATATTTCGCGAATTGTGTTTGGAGAACGTCATTTTTTGATAGATATAATATAATAAAATAATATGTTGATGTCTGAATTGCCAAACATGTCTTGCCGGCACGGGCTCTATAAGATTTGCTCTGTTTTTAGCACATCCACCACAGCCTAGACCTTGGCCCCTAAGAGCTCGGCTTATGCGATGCAAGCTTCGTAAGATCGCGTTTTTGCGGACGCTTTGGTCTCGGTTTATCGGTTAATTTTGATGGGTTAGAAAATGCTAGAACTCTTCCTCATGATTGTTTTCCCTTTTTTAGCATCCGCCTCAACTTACCCCTGCCGCCTTTCTGACTTTTTGGCGTGACCTTATTGCGACTAGCCCGGCCCTCAATACATCTCGCGACCTATGTTTGGAGAACGGAATGGTCTTCGCGTGCGAAGAGTACGCATTTTTTGATATATAATGTAATCAAATATGTTGGTGTCTAAATCGTAATTTTGCGGACGTTCTGGTCTTAGTGCTAGTTTGGATTAATGATTTGGGGATTGAATCCTTAGATTATATTAAAATTAATCGGAAGCCACCCCCTAACCTCCAAAACACGAATCCAAACCACCAATCTAAACCAATAATTGGGAGATCGTGTTATATGCTTTCCAATGAATGTATATTATGTCTCTATATCCGTGGTTGGTCTTTAATGTGATCTTATCGGGCCGTCCTCAATGACGTAAGCCTCTTTTTCTAGGCGCATTTGAGAGCGAGCAGCCCGGCACTCAGTGCATCTCGCGACTTGTGTTTGGACAATGATATGTATTTCGTATACGAAGAATATACATTTCTTAATATATATATATATAATAAATTTATTAGTGTCTAAATTACAAAAAATGTCTTGTTAACGCGGGCTCTACAAGATTTACTCTATTTTTGGTACACTAACTACGGCCTAGACCTTTCGCCTCGAGAGCTCGACTCACGCGATGCCTTGCGAAGAGTGCATGAAGGTTTGTGAGATTATATCTTTGCGATCGCTCCAATTTACTCTATAAAACGAAACTGTAAAATTTGCTCGTCGCTTTTACACGCGTTTTTTTAGATCGTTTTTTTGAAAAACAAAATCCCGGATATTTCGGAAAATTGGTCTGGGCTGCCCCTGGAAGATATAACCATTTCATATTTCCTATGGACCGCTTACACAAATCTGTCCGGATTACCCCGGCCAGAATCCGGAAGATATAGTGACCAATTTCCCGAAAAATCTATATATTTCGGGAAAATCATACGTAGCCCCCCACCATTTTCTCGAAATATTCCGAATATTTCGGGACCATTTTCCCGAAATACTTTAAATATTTCCGGAAATGTTATTGTCGAAGTATCCGGAATATTTCGGGAAAATAATTTGGAATGCAATTATCGAAATATTCGGGATATTTCGGAAACATGGTCCGGGTTTTGAACGAAGCCATTGTGTCTTCTAGATAAAGAGTCGGGGAATATATCTGCCTATCCATAGCCATTTTGGCCTTGCGCCCATCTTCCGAGAGTTTCGGCTTTGCTTATACCCAGGACGTTTGTTGGTCGATCGTGTTTTCGCTCGCGTTTACAACACCTATGTAATATAGATGGATTTTTGAGGCCAACAGCCCGCGGATCCGTTCTCATTTTCTTTAGGCGACCGCCTTTCACTGACTCTTTAGCATAACCTTATCACGACTAGTCCGGTCCTCAATGCATGACTTGTGTTTAGAGAACGGCGTATGTTTCGCAAATATATAATAAAAAAAATGTTGGTGCTTGAATTAGAAAAACATCATGGGTTCTATAAGATTCGCTCTGTTTTTAGCACACCCACTACGGCCTAGACCTTGGCCCCTAAGAACTCGGCTTATGCGATACAAATTTCGTGACATCGCGTTTTTGCGAACGCTCTGGTCTCGGTTTATCGGTTAATTTTGATGGGTTAGAAAATGCTAGAACTCTTTCTTACGATTATTTCCCCTTTTTTAGCACCCGCCTGAATTTTGCCCTATCGCCTTTCTGACTCTTTGGCATGACCTTATCGCGACTAGCCCGGCCCTTAGGTGCATCTCGCAACCTATATTTGGAGAACGGCATGTTTTTCGCGTGCGAAGAGTCTACATTTTTAGATATATAACATAATATAATAGAATATGTTGGTGCCTAAATCGTGTTTTTGCGGACGCTCTAATCTTAGTACTGGTTTGGATTGGTGGTTTGGGAATTAAATCCCTGGATCATATTGAAGCTAATGGGAAACCACCCCCTAACCTCTAAAACACTAATCCAAACCAATAATTGGGAGATCGTGCTACGCGCTTTCCAATAAATATATATTATGTCTCTATATCCGTGGCTAGTCTTTAATGTGACCTTATCGGGCCGTCCTCAACGACGCAAGCCTCTTTTTCTAGGCGCATCTGAGAGCGACTAGTCCGGTATTCAGTGCATCTCGCGACTTATGTTTGGAAAACGGTATGCACTTCGCACTCGAAGTTTACCAATTTATATATATAATAAAATATATTAGTGCCTGAGTTACAAAAAAAAATCTTGCCAGCGCGGGCTCTACACGATTTGCTTTGTTCTTGGCACATTAACCATGGCCCGGACCTTTTGCCTCGAGAGCTCGAGCGAAGAATGCATGAAGGTTTAAGATCGCATCTTCGCGGACGTTCTGATCTCGGTTAGTGGGTTGTTTTTACTAGGTTGGAATATGCTAGAATTCTTTCTTATACTTGTTTTCCTTTTTTGGCACCCGCCTTAACTTACCCCTAATTATTAGTTTAGATTGGCGGTTTAAGGGTTAAACCCTTGGATCATATTAAAATTAAATGGGAAATTACCCCCTAAATTCCAAAACACTAATCCAAACCACGAATCTAAACCACATTTGGGAGTTGTGCTATGCAGTTTCCGATGAGTGTATATCATATCTGTGTCCGTGGCTGGTCTTTAGTGTGACCTTATCGGGCCGCCCTCAGCGACGTGAGCATCTTTTTCTAGGCATCTGAAAGCGACTAACCCGGCCCTCAGTGCATCTCGGGACTTATATTTACAGAATGGCATAGTTTCGCATACGAAGAACATATTTTTTTGATGTATATAATCAAATATATTAGTGCCTGAGTTGTAAAAATATAGCACGGCTCTAGAAAATTTGCTCTACTCTTGGCATACGGCTGGGCCTTAGCCCCTAAGAGCTCGGCTTATACGATGATTTGGGAAGAGTGCATAAAGCTTCGTGAAATCGCGTCTTTACGGACGTTTTGGTCTCGGTTATAGGATGTTTTTAATAGGTTAGAATATATTGGACCTCTTTCTTATATTTTATTCCTTTTTTAGCATCCGTCGTGTTATTACTAATTGTTGATTTGGATTAGCGATTTGATCTTTGGTGTGATCTTATCGGGCCGCCCTTAGCGACACAGACCTCTTTTTCTAGGCGTATCTAAGAGCGACTAGCCCGGCATTCAGTGCATCTCGCGACCTATGCTTGGAAAACGGCGTGCTTTTCGCACGCGAATTTTTGAATTGTTTGATACACCTATATGTGTGGATGGATCTTTTGAGGCCAACAGCCCACGGATCCATTCTCATCTTGCTCAGTTGATCGCCTTTCACTAACTCTTGTGGCATGACCTTATTGCGACTAACTCGGCCCTCAGGTGCATTTTGCGAGTTGTGTTTGGCGAACGGCATATTTTTCGCATACGAAGAATATACATTTTTGATATATATAATATAATAAAATATATTGATGTCTGAGTTACAAAAAATGTCTTGCCGGCACAGGCTTTACAAGATTTGTTTTGTTGTTGGCACAGCCGCCACGGCCTGCGCCTTAGCCCGTAAGAGGTCGAATTATACAATATTCCATCAACTTTTCCAGATTGTTTGACTAATCGAGCCTTTTCACAAATCCATATCAGGTACGGAAAGCGCTTGCGGAGTTGCAGGCAAATTGTGGGTGTTTGTCCAGGAAAACATCACCTGCAGTCTCAAATGTACGTTGGTTACAATGCAATTGCGCTACCCAAACTCGTTTTGGCTTGATCTGCATAGTGGCTCCATCAACGTAAGCCCCTCTCGTTTGGTGGCTCAAGCACGTCCGCGAGGTTTA